GTAGAAACACCCCACTATCTCCTCACTTATGAACATTTCAAGGCCGCCACTGAACTTTCCTCAATTAAGGATACAGACATCATATTGGGGGGCATGCAAGGTTTTGATTCCAAAAAGATTTCATTTCCAAGAGTGTCAGAACTATTAATGGGCCAAGCACAGACATCATTGAGGCAGCACTACAGGAACACAATGGTATAGCCCTGTGTGGAGTGTTCTCATGCATATTCTGCGGTCAAATGCTCTTTATTCAGACTCTTTTTTTTTTTTTTTTTTTTTTTTTAGTTCATTGTCGATAAAACTAACGAAGATATAAGCGACGTTGAGTTTTTTTTTGCGGGAGAACAAAAAAGCGAAAAAATACTCAGACTTCCCTGCGTCTTCCTGGCTACCCGGGTATGTGTATCTGTCTGAATATGCCAAGCAGCTACTGGAGCGTATTCTGTCTATCGACAATCCTTCCAAGGGTGCAATGTTTGAATCGTACAGGGAACAAAAGGGGTTTTGATATAGGATCTCTTTTGTGACATTAAAGGATATCACATGCTTCATGGATATCGAGACAAAGCATCCCTGCAACCACAAGACAAAGATATAACTCGGTTCAAACTCAAAGAAACGGTTTTACCAACGGTCTTGTGCTGAACTTACCCACCTATGACACAGTCCAGGCGAAGGGACAGTGGTGGTCTGACGTAGATGAAGAAGGCTACAACCAAGAATTGGGGCTTTCTCAAGGATTCCTCAACACGACATGTTCAAAGGCAGCTGGTGAAGACCCGCAGACGAAGGCTACAAAAACATATACTAGAAGAAGAGCTCCAAATTGCTTAAAAACGTTGAACTCACATTCAACGAACCAGGGCGATGCCCATCTGCAAACACCACAACTATCGCCGGATGCGATCCTGGTATTGTTAACGCCCTTACGTTTCCTCGCTGGACTCTCACAACCCTAACTTACGGCAAACGGTGAAGGTGATAAGCAGGTTCTTGTACCTTCGTCCTCCGCTTCAATCACCTGTTGAACAAAAGGAAGTGTGAAACAGGAATGATTGAGGTTTAGAGCGCCATCCCAGTATTTGGAAGGGATACATACAATGAGCACTTCTATTGGGTGAACGGAGTTCCAGACACAGACAGGATCAAAGAATTTGGATGTGCTTCAAGAATTCTACAAGTCCAGATGGTGCCTTAAAAAAAGGAACTTACGAAAGGCTCAACGAGCTACATTCGACTACGCGGTACAGCGAGCGTTGAAGATGCTCGGGGAAAAGGAGCGGCTGTCGTCGGCCTAGGTTCCTTTGGAAGTCGTAACGGAATTTCTAGCAAGCATACTGCTATAAAGAGGCACCTTGTGACACAGGTATGATTTTTTTTAAAAAAAAATATGAAAGCCTAGGAAGCCAGAGAACTCTTGCTGATAAACGGCCACCATTTGAAACGCTTAGGTCAAAGCACGAGGACACTTTGCTGTAGGGGCGCACGAGCTTTACACCGGCGTCCTCTGTCCCCGACCCCTCTGCGATAACTTTTTGGAGACAGTGTACCCTCGCTCTAAATATAGCCGTGCATGTAAGATCGACGTGACGCAGTTGGAGCGGATAACATTGCAAGAATTGATCTCGCTCAAATTGAGAGGCAAGAGAGACCTGCAAAGTAAGCCCACGGAAGAGTCGCCTGCTCCGGCTGCAAAGCGCGCACGACGCTAGACACAAGTATTTAGGCGCCGGCACATACAAAAAAATTTGCAAGTTCTGTTTATTTCCCTCTCCTGCATCCTTTGATCTTATGCCCATGAATTTCTGGACTAACTTTAAAACCTTACAGATCACTGTAATTAGAAATAAATAGAAATAAAATGTGCAATGGGTGATTTATCAACTATTTCCTCCTTTGCTTTTTTCACTCGGGAGCTTATCGTCTAAATGTCCTTGATAGCCTTAGGGGGGTGTTTACTAGAATAAGAATTATCAGGATCTTAGGAATCTTAGGAATACCGATATTTTATTACATCTCTGGTATTAATGAACTCATTCAGCAATACAGCATCAATGAGTAATGACATCATTCAGCATGAGGAAGATGTCCGCCATGCAATAGAACAGAGGGACACCGGACCTTTAGTAGATACAAAGAATACCAAGGATAGTCCGAATGATCCAGCAAGCCTAGCAAATCATTCTTCACGTCCAGTGCGGTTCAAAATACGAATTGTCGATTTAGACTATTACATGACAGAGCCAGGGCCACTTGATCTGGATATGTGCCAATTTCTCCCGCCATCCTGCCCAGTCCTAAAAGTCCCTGTCGTTAGGGTCTATGGCGCAAATGAGTCGGGACAAAAGACTTGTCTTCACATTCACAGGGTGAGTACTTTGCTATCATCATTAACAGAATACCTTCAGTTGAATTTGGTGGCGTCGAGAATCAAATCAAAAGTAAATGTCCTCACCAATGTTTAATAATTAAATGTGGATGATAGGCATACCCCTACTTTTACGTACCATATGATGGATCATTGGAAACATCGCAACGTATGTTATTTGGATTCAAAAATAATAATAATAATAATAATAATAATAATAATAATTGTTTCGCTGCTGCTCTTACAAACCCTATATGAGCTGCCATTTGATATGATTAAATATGATCTAGTTCAAACGTATATTCTGCAGCTGGGATTGAGTTTAAACCATGCTGCAAATATTACTTTCAACACACCACAGGATCCTCGAAAATCTCAATACGTTGCAGCGATTACTCCTGTAAAAGGGATCCCATTCTATGGCTACCACGTCGGCTACTCATACTTCCTAAAGATCTATCTTTTCAATCCGGATTCCGAAAGTCGAATTGTTGATTTGATGCGAAGCGGAGCTATCATGGGCACTCAGTTTCAGCCATTTGAGGCCCATATACCATTCAAATTGCAGTTCTTTATCGATTTTAATCTTTACGGTATGGGGTGGCTAGAGCTCGAGGAGGGACTAGTGAGGAATAATGTCCCAGGTATGTAAATGGTACTCCAATTTGTTCATTTAGTTATTAATGTTACTCATAATATGCCACTCCTTTTTAAGATCTGTGGAACGTGAGTAGTTTAAGAATTTTTTTTTATTTGCTTGATGAATTCGTTAGAACCCATGGATGGCGACCATCCTAAGCGCTTGACGAAAGCAACGGTAGCGGATACGCATGTTTGGTCAATTGAAAACGACCCTGGGAGGCAATCCAACTGTGAAATCGAAATGGATTCAACCGTGGATCGCATTGTGAATCGAGATAGAGTGACAGAGAGGGATACACATACAACTCTAGAAGAATGCTTCAAGCCACCATCTTTGACGGCACAGGTTCCATCCATGGCCAGTCTTTGGGAGGTGAGTTTGTTGCTCGTAAAAGTAATCCTTCATTTTTCAGAAAAAAAAAAAAATTGACAGTTTTATGATATCGATAGGATGATGCACGACGGAGAAAAGCCAATAATATGCCCTCACAAGAGGCGCCAAAGACTCAGATTCGCGATCCTGTTAGCATTCCATGGTTAAACCACGATGCAAATAAGCATACAGTTGCTGAGTTGGTGCGGCAGATGATATCACAGAGTCAGATTAAAATGCCCACGCAAGGAGACTTTGCCAATTTCAGCGTCCTTGAAGACCCACTAGGGAAAGGATTTCCGACCGCTTATCAGAGCGCTCTGTTTCTTTGTCCTCGCGCCGCCCCTGAAGTAGATGAAAGTGGGTCGGACGCGCGTTCACAAGGTTTGCAGGACACCTCGTTTGTCTACGATGAGGCTGATAGCTCTATTTTGGTGGATGAATCGATCATTTCTCAGGCGGTAAGACCCTAAACACACAATGGATGAAAACCACTATTTTCAAATATTCAAACATCCTTTCTAGCTTGGTTTTGTCCGCTTATTGACCATATAACTCTTATATTTTTACGATCGAGCCAGGTTGCGGCATTTGATGAAGGCAACATAGACACTAAAAAAGAGATATTTAAAGGTCTAACCGGCTTCAGAGATATTGAGGAACAGGATGAAGACGAAGACTTTGCTCTCCCTGATATGAATGAATTTCAGGATGAAAATTTTTTAGACGAGGCAGATCTGTGGGCCAGCACAAATTCATCCGACACAGAACAACAAGCGATTGTTTTTGAGCTGAAGAGACCCAAAACAACACGTATCATCCCTCAGTTTGATGGCAGTAATGATGTAGATGATCAACACAACAATAATGGAGAACGCAAGGATACTATGAAAGAATGGCAAAGTATAACTAGACTGAATACAAAAAAAAGGGATCGAAGCTTGTTTACAGCTTCGAAGGATAAATTTAATGCAAAAGCGAAGCGCTTCCGTGAAATTGCCACAGCTTCTGAGGGTGATTTAGCCCATCAGTCACCTAGAGATTCAAGGCGGCCAGCAGTTCGTGACAACAATGATCAAAGTGTTAGATTTGATGACTCTCACATGCCTGCACCATTAGAAAGTATTCGTGAGCGAGCTGGTTCCTTGTCGCCACGAAAGAGAACACGAAGTTATATGCAGTCCGTGCAGATCCCTTCGTGCTCGCGAAGGAAATCTGGCACTGGTCAAACGAAAAGTATATTGAACAGAGCTACATCGGTGACTTTAGCTCAGCCTGCGTCTAAGCTCGTCACGGCAGTATCGGACAGCCCAGATATTGAGGAAGATGGAAACCTTGATAAAGGAAATGGATCTATGTCCCAAGAGCTAGTTACTATATCAACACGGCGGGGCATACCAGAATTAGAGCGCGTGCGATATCAAAACCCGTCTACTTCGAAAATTCTCTACAGTTATCCAGCACCAGCTTCACCTAATCGAGAGTATTTTATGTCTGCCATGGATGAAATGTGGTCTTCGCCCTCACCGCCATTGGAAAGACCCTCATTTATACACTCTCCACCCCGTCCAACGTCGCCGTATCTCACATCTACACATAATATCTCCATTCCAGCTACTCAGCCTTACTATGACCAAGATGTTAGTCAGCAGGCAGAAACGACTGTGTCTTCTAAAAGACTTAGCAGCCCAGGGCCTCCCCCTCCGGAACACGAGTCTAATGACGGTTCAAAAGTCGACCAAACATTTCTCGATGATCCATACGTAGCTCAGGGTAATCCAGAGGATACAACGAGAAACGAGAGTAAAGATGTTCTAGAAATCGGAAGGGCAAAATCAGGAGTTATTCTGGTAGAGGACTCTTTCCTTGAAGAAGCGCAAGACTTGAATTCAGACAAGCCGGAAACAGACTCTGACACAAAGTATATTTTAAACGATATTATGCCGAATAAACCGCAAGCTTTTCAGTTTGCGTTATCACCTCCAACAACAAGCGAATTACTTGCATCGCTAGCAGGACTAGATTTACCTATGGTCATCCATCAGAAACCTTTTTATTCGAATGAATCAGACATACCTCCTAAAGCCAAAGTTTTTGGCGGCAAGGAATTTCGCTTGCAGTCAAATAGCATCAAAACGATACCGGTATTCAAGAGTAGTGATGATTCCATCATGGATCCTATGCTAGATAAAGGATTTCAATTTTGGGAGCCCTGTCGACAACCTCCTTCCCGGAATGATATTCAGATTTGGTTAGAAGAGGAAGGAAAGCATGCGAGGCTAATGATGAGGTCAGCAGCTGATACTTCAACACAGAAACGTCGTGAGCAGATCTCGCAAATAGAAGGCCCGACCCAAAGAAACCCTTTTGGGTACAAGAATAGTCCAACAAAAATTGCTTCCTCCGTTGCTGTAGAAAAGGACTATTTGGATGTTTTTAGCATGGAGCTACATTGTCAGACACGCGGAACCTTGTTACCGGATCCGGCGTTGGACCCCATCCAGGCAGTGTTTTACTGCTGGCAGACAGATCAACAAGGACTGGTCTCGAATGGATGGGTACCAGGGTAAGGACATTTGACTTTTTGTGTTATAGCGTGTAAAATTGAATGCTTTTAATGACATTTACAGCATCACTACACATCTACTCAAATAGATACCGTGTAGGGATTTTCACACACGTGGGAGCAGGGATGATAAAGAAGCTGTCTGTTGGTCGGATAGGATTCGATATTCATATGGCTGAGAATGAAGGCGAGATGATGAATGCCGTTCTAAAGCATATCTTGAGTCTCGACCCAGACATTTTGGCCGGGTATGAGGTGTACAAACTATCATGGGGCTATTTTATGGACAGGTACTGGACCCTATTTGGTATAGACATGTCCAAACTACTTTCTCGTATCCGTCCTCCAAAACCGCCTTTTATAAGCAAGGAGGCCATGGAAGCAAGAGGTTCTTATGATCCAAAACTCCATTCTGGTCTCAAAATTGGCGGCCGGCATCTATTCAATGTCTGGAGAATGATTCGCGGAGAAGTTGCGCTCACTAACTACGGGTTCTGCAATGTAGTTTTCCATGTATTGCAACAAAGGTAAAACGGCCTGGCCATCACTGGCTGCTATTCTACTTGAAGGTCATGATGCTCTTATAGAAGATTGTAAGATATTATTCATTTACTTTTATTTTTACTCATTACATTCCTCTTCTCTATTTAATCCGACATTGGAAAATGTCAGAATACCTCACTATACATATGAAACATTATCAAGATGGTGGGCAGATGGCATTGCGCTCCATCAATCCCGGGTCGTACGCTATTATTTGCATCGAGTTCAATATAATTTGCAGCTCATTGAATCACAAGAGCTCATTTCTCGCACTAGCGAGTTTGCACGTGTTTTTGGCGTGGATTTTTTTAGTGTCATCTCGCGCGGTTCCCAGTACAAGGTAGAATCAATGATGGTTCGGCTTGCAAAACCTGAGAATTTTATCATGATCACTCCGAGCCGTGCTCAAGTCTCTGCTCAACGCGCGTTAGAGGTGATTCCGATGGTGATGGAACCAGAATCCGGATTTTACGAAGATCCAGTCGTTGTGTTGGACTTTCAGAGTTTGTATCCAAGTGTGATGATCGCGTACAATATCTGTTACTCAACTAGCCTTGGAAAATTGGGAGGAGGATCAAAGCTTGGTGTTTTGACAGATTACAACATTCCTGAGGGTATGCTTCCCCTCATGAAGGAACATTTGCATAGTAAGTCTTTGCAAAGATGGGTTTAAATATCTTTGACAGTTAATGCATATGTTTACTGGCATGAAGCTTGCTCATCTGCTGGCACTTGATACTCTTACTAATATTTCTTATATTTAAATAGTTGCTCCAAACAATGTCATGTATGTTAATCAGGACATTCGACGTGGTCTTCTCGGCCGAATGCTGGCTGAAATCCTTGATACGAGAGTTATGATCAAGAAGGCTATGAAAGAGTATCCAACCAACAAATCACTGCTAAAGCTTTTGGATGCGCGTCAATTGTCGCTCAAATTTATCGCCAATGTTACATATGGGTATACAGCTGCATCATACTCAGGTCGGATGCCTGGGGCTGAAATCGCTGATTCAGTGGTGCTTTGTGGTCGTGAAACATTAGAGCGGTCCATCAGATTTGTGAACGATAACCCTAAATGGAATGCAAGAGTAGTCTATGGGGATACAGACAGCATGTTTGTGCACCTAAAAGGCCGAACGAGGCAAGAAGCTTTTGAAATTGGATATGACATTGCAGAGACTATTACAAAAATGAATCCCCGACCAGTCAAACTCAAATTCGAAAAGGTCTATCATGGGTGCTTCTTGGTGACCAAGAAGAGATACGTCGGGAATGCATATGAGACACCGGATCAGGAAAAAGGGATATTTGATGCTAAAGGCATTGAAACTATTCGACGAGATGGCATCCCAGCGGTCCAAAAAATTATGGAGACGTGTATCAAGTGAGTAAAAAAAAAAAAAATAGCTGCGGTCGATGGAATGAATTTATTGATGTGTCAGCACTTTTATAACACCGATGTCATCTAGGGAAATGTTTAGAACAAAAGATCTGTCGCTTGTAAAGTCTTATCTCGTACGTCAAATGGGGAAGATCCTAGAAGGCCGCGTTCCTGTGCCTGATTTGATGTTTGGGAAAGAGGTGCGTATGGGCAGTTACAGGTAAGAATTAGTTCTTTTTATTTTGACCTGAATGAGATCACTGAATCCCACTCGGAGCTCTAATTTTTTTTTTTTTTTCCAGTGAAAAAGGAGTGCCTCCACCTGGTGCTATAATCTCTGCTCGCAGGATGAACCTCGACCCGCGCGCAGAGCCTCAATATGGCGAGCGTATCCCATACGTCGTGGTTTATGGAAGCCCTGGGGCTCGACTGACTGATCAAGTTGTCGAGCCAAAAGAACTTCTTCGTAATAAGAATTTACGACTCAATGGCGAGTACTACATCCGCAAGCATGTGATACCTTCCATGGAGCGGATATTCCAGCTTGCCGGGGCAGATGTTAAATCATGGTTTGATGAAATGCCTCGAGTTCAGAGAGTTATACCTCAGCTTGTCTCAGGACAAGAGCCTGGTCAAAAAGCAGTTCAGACGCTGTCAAGCATTAATGGGGAAACAGGCTCTCCTGCTAAATTATCAGAACTCAATTCTGCAGTGTCAGTTATACCAATGAAGATGAACTCTGCTGTAGTTGCAGCACAGGAGGAGCTTAAACACCACCATCACCATCAGCAACAGCAGTCGCTGATGCAACAAACAAATGCTCCCTCTGAGGAACATAAATCCCTTCCAACGTTAGAAGACGTTGCAACAGCAGGAACCGAGACATTCGAAGGTATATTGGAAACTACTCTGGAAGCTTCACGATTAAAATCAGGGCGCAAAGGCAGTAAGGGCTATGTTTTATTGGGATCGCGGATCGATCGTTACTATCAAAGCCAGCTCTGTACTGTGTGTGGTAAGATAGTGACCGGGCAAGGGGCACAAAAGTATCTTTGCGCAGATTGTAAGAGCGAGCAAGGTCGGCCTTATTCTTTACTAGTTTTACAAAATGGGCTTGCCAAAGCCGAGAAGCTTTTGCGAGCAGCGGTGGATGTCTGTAGCTCCTGCTGTCGTGGCGCTAGTAATGGAGGTGTGGGTGTAGATATTGGAGAGTGTGGTGATGGTCTAGCCAGCACTGGAATGGAATTGGTCGCGTGCGAAAGCCTTGAGTGTACTGTATTTTGGCAACGCCAGAAGGCTCATGACTCACTTCTTGTGACACGTAAGTTGACAGAAAAGATTATGAAGGTTCTGGAAGAGTTAGAAACATAATCTTGGATTCTACCAATCAAAGTCACTCGGTCCTCTAGAATAATAGAATCATTGCACTTTACACAGCCTTTATTCCTAAATTACTTTTTATACTATTAATAAAGCAACTTAGCGCGAGCACGGGCGGCCATCAGCCGCTCGACTTCATGGCTGGCTGGATGTAATCCATCGTCTCTCGCGGCTTTAACAGTGTAGTGTCTTAACAAAGCGTCACGTCGCACAAAAGGCCGATGGCAGAAATCGCAAGGCCAGGTCATCTCCTGATGTTTTGAGGCTTGGTGGCGCTTTAGATCATGGATTCTGCCAAAAGATTCGCTCGGGCAAAGCTCACAGCGGAAGGTCATGTTCTCTGTTATTGGATTATAAACCATAATTGCTCCATCTTCAGTCTTCGTAACTGTCATGCCCTCAGTCCCTGGGAGGTTGAGATCTGAGGTGCTTCTTCCAGTAAGGTTGCTTTGTACAGAAGCTGCAAACGTTGTTGACGGCTTTGTTGATGATTCTGGAAGATGCTCGTTCTCATGATAGGGTTCCTGTTCTTGCTGGTGATGCCGCTTAGACATAACAAGCTCCCATATATTTGGCAAATGAGAGCCAGATTGACGTCGAGACTGTTGCTGATGATGATGTTCCTGTGTTTGACTGGGTCGTGAGTTCTGGCTAAGGTCTTGATCAGTATTTATTCTCGAAGGAGAGCGCCGTGATGCATGGTGTTGGCTACGGTGCTCGAATGATACGTGTTGTATTGGTTGCACTGGTGATAACGGCATGGAAGAAGCCTCTGACTGGGTTGGCCTTAGAGGCGGAGATGAGGATCTGAATGAGGGCTGTCGCTCATATTTGGGAGAAGGTGGATGGCGCTCGTACAACACCCTCTGAGCCTCGCTCATAAACTCAAAGTTGTTTGGGTTGGGGAGAACATTGGATCTCTCATTATTCTTATCATCTCCCTTGTCCCTTCCTATGTCCCAGTCGTGTGCTTTTTCCTGGCGGCGAGGTAAAAAGACATCGTAACGCAATCTTTCATGTCGATACTGTTGCTGCGGCGACGGTGAGGACTGCGAAAATGGTGGCGTTTGAGCTCTGTTCGAAATGGAAAATTCATCTCCATCTTTGCCACTAGCACTGATACTGATCTTATCCTCTTTGCCCAAGGATGACTCGGTTGTACATGAGGATGACGCTACCCTCGTGAAGGGAGACGGAGAACGCTGCACAAGCAAATATTGATATTAATGCCTTTAGCGATTGTCATAAAAAGAGCTACTTTTATCCACGCTTCTTGTAAATAATGTCAATGAAGAGATATATAAAAATAAATAGAATAAATAAAAAATACGCTGTACCATACCCTTCTATCAAAAGAAACATGCGAATGACTACTGCCAATGGAGCTTCTCTTGATCTGGCGAAGTCGTTCGTCGCGATAATCTTTGAAATCGAGAGTATGGTAGCGTGAACCTATGTTGTTGCTATCAAACTGATTCGGAGAGCTATATTGACCTTGCTCGTATGGCCAAGTACGACGTTTTCCCAAAACCAAGCGCTCATCCGACAGGAACTCTTGTTGTGTAGAAGGCATATCCTGTTGTATGAGTGGCGGGGGTATTGATGAAGAGGAAGAGTCGTGTCTTTTTGACGGAGGAAAAGGAAGGAACTGTCGCTGTATACAGGGTATTACAGGTGAAGGTGAGTTTGTTTGTCGTGGCGATGTTGAAGACTGCTCATATTGAGGTTCGCATTGATCCATCAAAGAGTCCGAGGGAAGCTCTTCAGTTGTGAGGTCGGGATGACCATCAACATCCATCATGGTTGCTTCATCAGCATTGCCAAGCGTACATTTCTGCGATAACGGTAAAGAACGGCGGCGATGAAACTCGAGATACCCATCCGAATGTTTCTGGGAGTGCTTTTGATGGGGGATCAAGTCATCCGACTCGCGCTTTGGAGACATGGACATGTTCCTCGAATGAGGTGAGGGGCAGAAGGAGGCTTTAGATAGAATAGGAGAAAACGAGCGACCAAATGATGCAAAAGGAGCAGTGGGAGGAGGTGAAGAGCATGAGGAGGTGAAAGACGGTGAAGGGGATACCGTCTTGGCAGTGGTTGGATGAGGGGATGAAAATTTTATTGAGCTCAGGCTCTTTGAATGCCGTGTCTGACGGTGAGAATATTTGGAGTCACCGTGGTATGGAAGACTATGCGGACGCCCCTGCTGAGACTCATCTTGAACGAGACGTCGTCTCCTTTGCTGATGTTTTTGTTGTTCTTGAAGGCGGTGGTGATGTTCAAGGTCATAGTCGCACGATTCCCACTCTTCCAAATCATCTCGAATAGGTTCTTCATATGGCTTTTGATAGTTGTCCAAATGATTTGTTTGAGAATGCTCTGCTTGTTGCTTGTGAGAACGATATGTTTGCTGATCATGATCGCCGTCTGATATATCCGAGCAGGAGAGCTTGCGTTGATCATTTCGTTGAGTTAACTGCTGAGCAGATGGTAGTCCAGCAGAATGGATATATTCTTGACTGGTATTATTGTGGACTTTGTGAACCAACATCCTTTGAGTTTTTGTGGCTATTGAAGATGCTGTTGCAAGATGTGGACGTGTGGACAAGGGAGTGTTGTGAAGATATGGTTTCAACTGGAATCTGTTCTCCGCCAGATGCTTAGTGGATGGATGTGGTTTGTTGTTTACAAAGAATGGTAGATGCAGGAAAAGTTGTCGAAGAAGCTAGTCAGACAAAAAAATGAAAATAAAAAGAAAAGAAAAGAAAAAAAAAAAAAAAAAAAAAAGGTTGTTATTAGGACTGGAATGTTTTTAGGGAACAGATAAGGCAGATCAGGGATCACACTCAGCTGAACTTGGGTCTATAGACATGCATACAGTAGATATTGTTCGGTAGACAAAAGAAAGAAAAAAAAAGGACAGGAAAGGGCTGAGGAGAGGAAAAATGTAGTGGCAAGGGAAGAGGGAGGAAAGAAGCAAAGGAAAAAAAGGAGAGAGAAGGGGTGAAAGAGAAAAAAAGAAAAAATGATGGACGATGATGACAGGTGTGTTTCACAGGCAGGGTATTGCCACCAACGATAAAAATATTGACAGTCGATGATGTATTTCGCCACCAGAAAAAATAAACAAAATCACAAATGATTCTGTGCATAAAAAGATTGGTCGCTAGTATTTGAAACATGCCAAATAAACCATACCAGACGTATTCACTCGTGTACGATTGCTCTCATTCCTGCATTTCTGCTGTTTAGTTTTTTTTTTACTTAAGCACCAATAAGAAAAAGAATGGGACAAATGATTAACTGAATCAAAAGGTGATGGAGAATAAATGAATAAAGTAGGGTGCAAGGACGATGTGAGAGAAGGAGAGAAGGAGAGAGAGAAAGAGAGAGAGTGTGTGTGAGAGAGAGTAAATAATAAATGCCACTATTTACAAGCATGAGATTGCAAATGAACATTATACCGTTGTTCAGAGTGGTTCCATGCATTTAAAACAACACCTTAGCTGTCTTAAACTTTAAAGACAGGGAAATGATAACAGTGTAAGATAGCCAGACACTCAAACTCTGCTATTCATGTGCAAACAAAGCATTACGGATAGTTTTTTTTTTTTTTTTTTTTTTTTTGAGAAAGTAGTAAAAGAAACAGTAATAAGGACAGGGGAGAAAGATAACAAGTAGGTCTCTATGCAAATGGGACAAGGAAAGAGAAATGTATCTATTCTGTTTGTTTGCTTAACAAGTACCACGGGCTCACAGGACTAACTTGAGATAAACGGCACCAATGATGTATAACATGTCTGTGCAAAATTGTCGTCCCCCAATCTCAATAAAGAGAACAATGAGTACGACACAATGGTGGCCTAAGTTGCGTCATCAGTCACGCGACAGCCCCGAGTTCGAGCGCCACCATTTTTTCCTATTCGTGAGTGCTGGCTTCTCTCGACTCTAGTTGTGGATCCCTAGAAGACAGAGCAGATTCTGTCGGTACCTGTGAGACTGGGAGAACGGACCGAATAATTCGTTGTCTCATCCAGTGCTCCTATTCGATTCGAACAAATTGAATTCGAATGTTCGAATGCATTCGAATCGAAATCGAATCGTGGTAAATTTGAATAAGTCCTATCCTGGATCGATTCGAATAGTTCGAATGGCTCGAGTATCGAATGACTTGAGTATCGAGTGACTCGAATGGTTCGATGCTCACCACGCCTAAACGTTACAAAAAATTCCATTAGATGTTCCTAGACAAGCACTTATACTCCTACTCGATATCCATGGTGATTCCCAGGCCCATAGCTGGACTAAAAGTTAGTGTATTTCGTTGATAGCCATTACATTCGGTTACTTCTAATCCCTCATGATCCCTAGTGGCGAACTTCAATGAGGTACATACGTGTTGAGCGCTATATCGCAGAGCCTCTCTTCGTCCCGTAGGCCTCCACATCGTTGATATCTTTGTAGATTAAGCCATTGCTACTCTTTGTTAAAATCACGTCTCTGGGACCGCAGCCTCAGGTAGACTTCTAGTCTGTCCCAAACCCTCCTTACTTGACCGTACGACCTTCACGTGTCGAGCGCTTTCCTAAAACCCCGCATTTGACAAACGGAAGATGAACCCAGTATCCTTTTTATGCATTGAGCCCTGCTTTCATGTTTTTGTCCTGTTGGAAAGAAGGATTTCAAGCCTTCCAAGAGTCTTGATCGTATTTACTACTGCCTCATGTTCCTTCTGCACGCAAAAATTACGTCTCAGCTTTCCCTGTCACGTTGCAACCGTTGACATGTAATAAAGACCTTTTCCATACTTTAAAAAATAAACTATTTTTTCTAATTCTTGTTTAGTCCAAAGTGTCTAATGAGCGTCGATAAATTTCAGCCAATAAAGATTTTTGATCAAAGTGTGGTGCTTAATATGAAGTTTATTCATATCCATTTACTCTGTCTAGCCTATTATTTCAGATACTGGCTTTTTCTATTCAAAATCAATTGAGTATAACAATAGCTTAGGAACTGCCTTGACAAGAAATGCAAATGTGCCTTCTTTACCCTCTTGCGGAAGATCATAAAATACATTCCTGGCCATACGTTCGTGATATTTAAAGTCAGTATCCTACAGCTCTGCTTCAATATCTATTAATTTTCTCATAGATGATCCAGACACGTCTGAAATATGGCCCATTGATGATCCATTTTATCCAGAACTTGCTCATAACTTCGCGCACGACCATTGGCAAATCAATTACTTCTTGCTACATCTCCATACTAGGATTACGGTCTTCAGTTTTGGCAATCGCTATTAGAGTTCCTACCGCAATCTGGCGCTCAACTGAGTCAATAATGGCCCCAAAAAGTTTCAACTGCTAATGCAAAGTTGAATTTTTGGGTGCCATTTCGGAAATGATAGGGTCTCGTGACAACATGTATAACTCAATACGGAAGCTAAAAGATCGCGCCAAAATATACCATACACTTGGATAGAATTTCCCAAGAGCCCGGCTGAGGGCTCCATGATTTTTGCGACGACGTAGCCATCACCCTGGCGAGTTGAGAACAAAAGCTGCAGCCGTAGAACGCGAAGGAAATGGGTTTGGACTCCAGTCCTTGCTCTATAATGGCTAAGGTCAATCGTCTTCTCAAGAACTGGAGTAGGTCCGTCCATAAAGCCTTGTGCGCCTCCACTATAGAGTCTTGGCTCGCACCTATATGGACAAGGTTTTTTTTTTTTTTTTTTTTTTTTTTTGCGAGCATTGATTAGTCATCATAAGGGCTTATTTGGTGCTGTTTGAGTCTGAAAAACTGGTTACCAACGAACGACTCAAGATCGCCCCCATATCGCCATTCCTTCCTCACTTATCATGCACCATGATTCATGCGCCATAATCACCTAAAACCTTTTACTATATAGCTAATTTACATTAATATTGTTGTGGCTGGTCATTAATAGTTATATAAATCAATTATAACTATTTTATTTTTACTTTGTATCTACTAATCGGGACATTCTGTCGATCCACAGTTAAAAGAACCTTTGTGCAAAGCCTTAAGCTATAGGTGAGTCCACCTCACCTAGAAAGCACCACAGTCAGGCCTGTAGGCTAAGTTATAAAAGCCAAAGAGCTTCTTCCTCAATAAAATCTTCAGTTTTCCCCATACGTCTTGTTCTTGCTATTATCTTTTCCCCTTTTCACAACAAGCATTTGCCGTCCAGGAACTCAGTTTGTGAGCTAACCTATAAAGCTCCCATCTTTCTCTTTCGGCATCCTATGGCGCTGTTTGTCGTCAAGGTTGTTTGTCTTTATTTTCTCTTGGTATTCTTGTTGACACTCTTTGTACTGTCCTTTCCTGATTTTGTGTCTATCCTTTTGCCCCTTAAGCAAAGATACACCTACTATTTACAACAATATTAATACCCGTGACATACAATAATAGAAAAGAGGTATAAATACTCTTTTCTATTGTGAAAATAAAGATCCTCATTCTTGTCTCGTTATATCTCAGTTCATTATTAATTTATCAGGTTTGATTCTCCAATTCATAAAACTTGAGATCGCTGATGCGTCTGCTTCCCAAATGTTTGAATGCCAAGGTTCCAACGTTAGTTAAAAGCTCAGCGCAACTATCGTTGGAGCTGTAAACGATTATCATTCTGGGCTGCAACCAGTCCACAAGTCGAGCCAAATTATTACTCTCGTCTTCTAAGGTATGTGTATCGAATGAGATATACTCAATGGTAACGCCTTGGATAGGGTCAGCCACTATCATATTAATTCCACGTGAGGAAACAGACATGGTGCTCTCGTTGATGAAAGCCTCGATAAAACTACCTGAGTAATTATCCTCCTGATTGGAGCTTAATTGTTTTCGTGCTTAAGTCTTTGGTCATATAGGAATAAGCGTAGCTCCTAATGAAGTGAATGTATTCAATACTGAGGCATTGTCTCCATTACTTATAAAGCTGAAGCTGCTCAGTGGTCGTTGACAGCGGCGGGCTGACTCGACTAGAAGCTTGGCTACGTAGAGGCATATTGGTAGCGTTAGACCTCGGTGTTGGGCCAGATAAAACTGTTCCAAGAAGAGATTTTAGTTCAAAGGACGAAAGCATCGGGTACTCCGTTGCCTCGGCTACATCACAGTTATTGGGTCGAGAGACCCCTTCGCGAAGAGTAATGATCAAAAAGTGGTTATAGAGGTGCATGATGCCTTCAAGCATCTCAGGAAAAGATCGAATAAATGAGCTCAGATAGATTAGAGCCCCTTGGGCGACTGGGTCTTCATGGATGTCATCAAGTTACCATCATAAGAGAGTAGTTATTTGCTTCTGTTGGATGACCAAATCTGTAATGTTGATATTAAGTCAGCTGACAAGCTTGCTTAATAGCCCCGTACATTGACCACAACTAGCAGTAGCCCGTGCGATGCACAGGTGTGAATTTTTGAACAAAATAATTTATTATTTTTATTTTTATACTTATTGGAGAACGCTCTTGTATACAATGTTCCTTATATAAACACCTTCAAACCCAGGAAATATGCCATTGTCTATTAAAACCCTCAGATCTCTTGGATTGGAGCAGCGTGATAGTGCAACATACAGTTGACCATGAGTAAACACGGGAGCAGGGAGATAAATACCCACCTTCTCAAGAGTTTGCCCCTGCGACTTGTTAATTGTCATAGCGAATGCTGGCTTGATGGGGAATTGATACCGTGTAAACTTCACAGGTGATGTTTGGTCATCATCAGCAGTTGTCAGGGGGATGCGCGGAATAAACACTCTTTTTCCTTTTAAAGCGCCTGTGATAACTTCTGCTTCCATGCATCTTGAGGTAAGACCACGCACAATAAGTCGGGTACCATTACACAATCCACGCTTGGCGTTCATATTCCTTAACAACATGATAGGCTGGCCGATCTTTAGTAGCAGCTTAAATGGTAACTTAAAACCTCTAGGATGAATGGAAGTGGCTCAATAATGGGCAATACAACTCGACCTCTCTGACAGCAGATGGAGTATTTAAAGTCCTGATTTTGCTTCTTATTACTTCGTTCCTCTTTCCACACTTTCGCCTGACAATCTGGACATTTTATCATCCGATCAAGGTGATGTCTGTGATTTTTAATACTGTTGCCTCTGATTAGATTTTCATTAAAAGGTCGCCTAGCAATGAAAGGTCGCCTAGCAATAGGAACTTGTACTGGAAGTGGAGGTCGTGGTGGGGGATGATAAGGCTCAAATTCATATTCTTCCTCGCGGTTACTTCTGTTCAGGTTAATGTTCTCATTACGTGAATTTTGCACCTCCATGTCACGCTCACTTTGATTTTGAAAAATTGAAAAAAAATATTTATTTAATTATTAGTTCAGCTTTTCCTACACTTGTATCCTACATCCTACATATACTTATCCATTCCTCTGTTGCTCTGTCGTGTTGTCTTGTCATATTGTCATATATGTTCTGCATTTTCCAATTATCACTTATACTCACTTATCAATGACGGGATAATATTCTCAGGACAATTTTCCATATGTCCATGTATTCTTGGACGATTACATGTCTTACATCTGTTGAAAAGACACTCATTACTATTTGATCGTTCATGCGTAACTTCAACTAATTCTCCACGACGCGCATATTCTTTAACGCATTGGTTGCAAACCATTGTTGAAGTAAGGGAATAAGGGAAAGGGTAATGAATGAGGGAATGAAAGGGGAGGAGGAGGAAATAAAATCCCAAATTGTCTGAAAAAAAATTTCTACACGTGATATATCAAAAAAGGTAGCGGCTATAGTATATTAGAGATTTGAGCTACAGTGACTTGAATTAAGCTTCCTCAAGAACCTAATTATTGACGAAATTGCCAGAGCCACTGCATAAAGGGAGGTACTGAAGTAAGCCTGAAATTATGTAGCGTTGGATAAATAAAAGAGAAAGGAGAAGAGGAAAAGAAAGAATGAGAGAGTAAATGAGTGAAAGATTAACGATGATCTCTATGAAATCTTATCCTGCCTTCATCTTCAAGGAAAAGAGCCGACTCGCTGTCCTACTGCCTTAGTCATAGAGGCTGACTGAAACTGATAGCATATCCTGGGCCCAGCGTTAACCCAAGACTGCTCATACTCCCATTAGGCAAACTCGCATCCGAATTTTCATCCCTAACTACAGAGGAACTGGTGCTCTCTAGAGCGATGTTACCGGTGCGGGCTTCAGAAATTTCCAAGCTCGCTAGGTCAGGAGCCATGGTACCAATGTTCAAGGCCGTGCTGCTTCCTTTGCGGCTAACGCAGGGCTCTTAATGACCTTTGAGTTTAGAAGACTTGCCTTGGGTCTCCTTGCCCTGTCTTTTTTGAGCGCATAGGCCCGATGGGCCTGCAGCAGCAGCATGGGGGCAGTGGCATGCTGTTAGAAGAAGCATGACCATGACACCAAAGTAGCCATCTCTTCTGAGCGCAGTGCTAACTGCAGGCGCTATGAACGACGTAAGTGACAACTCAACGGACAAGAATGGCCTCCGCACTGACCAGCAATTGTTTCTAGGAGTTCTGCTTCCTGTGGTGCCAAGAGTGGTCGCTTGGGTCCGCTTCTCATTAAATCCAAGCTTCTTTACATTTCGGCCCTTCTGACGATCATCAGCACCACGCAGGGTACCAATCTAGTCAGCATCTTCCTTAGTGACCAAGAAAGCAAGAAATACGATACATGACATGTTCACCGCCTTGGCCAATCTTCCCAGACAAACACGAACACTATTGCAAATGCTGTTATGTAACGTCATGAAGAAGATTAGTAATTTGCGCCTAGTATCCTTTTGTGTATTGGATCCTTAAGATATTTCTTTCCATGTAGTCAATTCCCGAGAAGCAGCGCCGCTTTGGGAACTAAATGTATTTGCTCTGCTTAGTCCACCTAGCATAACGTGTGTGAGAAGCGTTACCACTGTGGGCCCTCCGGGTATTCACAGTATTGACAAACAAAGGCCGACTCACACTCAAAGTTTGATACCAAATTGTCGTAAAGTAAAACCTCCTGTTGTCCATGAAGTGAGGAGTGAACGTACACAGATGACCTTGAACACGGTACAACGTAATGCACCTAGTGATCCAACAGGGCCCTTGGGCCGCCCTGCAAACGTGTTATACAATGCTGGGCTCAAACCTTTGAGGAAAGCTCAACTATCACGCGCACCCCAGGTGACAAGACATCAGAGCCGCAACTCAGTGTTAATTATCAGTATAAATAGTCCACTACGTTATAGCTAAATAAAGTAGCCTTTGACCTTCGATTCCACCTAAGATCACCTTTGATTGTTACTATTTACACGCCCAGAAAACTCGAGATTTGCGTTTTCCCCAACTGTTGTGTATATCTCTTCTTTTTTTTTTTATTTTACGATTCAAACAAAAAAACAGAAGGTCCAGGGGTCAAAAGCCTCTATATTGATTCTGCAGTAAGGAACAGCAACTCAAACTTACGAAGCTGCTATCTCGCGGTTCAAACAGGCCGATGCCATTGACAGCCTGCAGTATAGCCATACCAATCGAATAAGAGTTCAGTTCTGGTTCAGCGTAGTTGATCTTGTTGCCTCGCTCCCAAATACCATAGTCAAAAGTGTAATATGCGCACTCGATATAAAACACTAAATTCTGGATAAAGTCGACTCCATCCGTGCTATGTATATAAGTGATCAGCATACCCAATGCCGCCATCTGCACCAAGGTCAAAAGGAAAGTCGATGCGGTATCGGTTTGTAGATGGTCCCACTCTGAGTCAGAAGTAATATACTTTGCGTGTAAATAATCACCTAAACCTTATGTCTTTTGAAGCTCTCAACTTTGTGCGTCAGACGAATCATGCAAAATAGTGAACCACACATCAGCTTAACAATGGCATGCTCAAGCTCGTCTATGATAATTAAGAAGGTGGCAACCTGATTTTTAAAAAAAAGTAACACCTACTGACCTTGCGGACAGTGCATGTCCTACCTCTTTATCTGAAACCAAAGTAGCTTGCGGATTCACATTGAACATCTGGGCCTATTTCTAAAAAGGCAGCCAACAAATAGGCCATTGACACATCAGAAATGCGACACCAGAAATGGTGTATTTCGAGTATCCCTTGGCGGATTTCACTCAATTCAAAAGAAAAAAATTGAGGATCCTACCCCTTGGATGCGAGGATCCAGGGGGGATGGTTATAAGAAAATAAAATAAAATAAAAACTAAGGAGATTGACTGTCATATTTGAGCAAATAGATGGCGTATTTGAAAATATTTCTGCTCTCGAGCTGGTGTATTTGATGTGGCGGATATATTCTGCAAATGGCAAATAAACTTTTCCCATTATTATTATTATTATTATTATTATTATTTCAAATGCATGGAGAAAAGGGACAGGAATGTGGCCAGGTCGCAAAGATTGGCCTGTGCACGAAGTGTACCTTGTCATTGAAACACCTCATTGTTTTTTTCACACGCACATCAAAATATCTAATCTTACATGCACGACCTTCATCATCATTAATCCGTCAGTAGGCTAGTGATAGACCAAAGATAGTCATAATAGAGTACACGTTATCGCTACATGTACAGCATGTAAACAAAGACGTTGCTGTTTATTATTAACTTTCATTACATTATGCGGCACAACTGCAGATCATCATTTTTCATCGAGCCTATACATCGCAATAGTCACTGTGAATTGTGACAGCAACGGAAGCTGGAATCAAGCCCATGGTAGGATGCTGACGTTTCAAGATAGCGGTATTGATGGCACGATAGCTGTAATCGAGCCGCTTCCGGACACTAGACTGGAAATGATACATCCTCAGCCGTCTTGAAAATCAGTTGGGGTGATGGTGAGGGAAGAATGAGAGTGAGAGAGATGAGGAAAAAAAAGGGATAGAGTCAGGGATGAGAGGAAGGTGGAGAAGGGAATGCAAAAGCAAATGAGGAGGAGGAATGAAGTAGCATGAAAAAAAAATCCAGCTTGTCCAAGGTTAATTTTAATTCAGCATTAGATGGAAAAACAACAACCCATTCAGGCACATATTTTGCTGATCGTCATGATCAGAGATGTGTCCCTTTCTAGTTGGATGTCGCGTTTATCCACTCAGGAAGCGCACACCAACGTGCCCAACCATTTGAAGGAGCGATGAGCACGAGACACGTATCGAATGCTCACAAATCCAAGAAACAATGTGCCTCTTTGTTTTTAAAATATGATTGATCCAATATTTAATCAAGTACAATCGTCCACTATACTACTATACTGAAACTTCGACCATGTCATCCTCCTCCTCCTCAAAATCCTCTTCGTCTTCATCCAATGCGTCTTGCAAGTCTGGATCTACAGCCGCGGTCGCAGTCTCACCCGTAGCGACTCCAACAGCTGCGGGGTTAAAGGTTGTTTCATTCTCAGCTCTTTTCACATCAGCAGAGCTCGAAGAGCCTGCAGCACCGCCACGTCCACCTGTGCCCACAAATTCTGCCTTGAGTTGATACCGCGCTGTATAAGGTCCTTTCCTGATAAATTCACATATTTCACTCAAAACCTCCTTCAAGTATGAATGAGGCTGCTTAACATACTCGACTAATCCTCTGAAAGACCAATAAGGATACTGTTCAAAGGCAGAGAACAACATGTCCACAAGTTCGTTCTTTGGCATACGTGTGGTCTTTTGATCCATTTGCACCTTGGCCTTCTTTTGCTATTAAAACCGAAGTTTTTAAAAGACGATGAATCTTGAAGCATGCGCAGAGACTCTGGTATGATTACATCATGGAGGGAGGGGAGTTTTAAAGAAAAAAGAAAAAAAAGAGACAAAGACTTACAATAAATCCATTGCGAATACCCATGCCTGGCAAGAACTGGCCCTGGCGACCACCAGCACTATCTATTCTGTTATTATCTTCCAATATCTGTACTGATCGACCTCCCTTCTTCGCAGCCTCAATATTACGCTCTCGCATAATGGACCTGTATTCGGCACTGCCATCCATGGGCGTTACAGAACATTCGTGTTTGATAGTTGCAAGAATAGATGTAGCTTTGCCTGTGGGGTATCCAGGCGCGTGAGGAGGCTTTGGATGAGGGCCTGTAGGCTCCGTAAAGACGAATGTGTTGCTGACCTGTGCTGGGTTCATTTTGAGCGTGTAGGTTTTGGGGATGTTTGCTGTAAACTTTTGATCCGAAGGCAAAATAAGCTGAAACTGTGATTGATTACCGTCACTGGGATTAACGCTATAGAGATTCGATCAGAAAGAAAATAAGGGAAACGTCAGTATAATGTTCTTTTCAAATACATATAATGGCAATAAGCGACAATCAATGTATATATATTTTCGAAAGAGAAGAAAAGCTAAAAAGCATTTACGGTGTTATTATTCGAACTTTTCCTAGATCAACGCCTTCTTCATTGATGGAGGCCCAGCGATCAGCTAGAAATTTAGGGATCTAGATAATAGAAGCAGTGACACACACAAAAAAAGAGGCTCATTAGAGAGCGAGCTTCTGTGTTCTGAATGCAATATCCGCCAATCCAGCTATACCTCGAGATACAACACTAACCTTGACCAACCAAGCTTGAGTGCCTGCTTTACCTAGGTCCAAATCTCCAGCAACGTTACCATCCTCATCGATAACCTCGTCTTCATCTTCAAAATTTTCTTTAGCATCTCCTCCATCCTCGAAGAGCTCTTCAAAGTCTGCAGGGCGCTTACGCGAATAGCCTCGTTCATCGTCAGACATTGTTTACGAAGAAAATGGAAGGAGAATAATTTAAAGAATGGACTCAGATTATTATATTGCTTTAAATTAACCCCTTCTTAAAAAAATGAAAACTGTAAAAGATAAATGAATGACGAAAAGAGATGCATGTAAAGCTGCAATGGAGCTCACCGATGTTATACTGAAGTCATGTGGCTCAGGAAAACTGGGAGTCATGTGATATATTACACTAAGAGCCCATAGCCCTGAATCAAGTCAATTTTTTATTCTCTTTATTGACAAGATGTGCTATAAAGATCACATCGATGAAGATGGGTAGCATCTTGCCAAAGTATAGTGGTATGACCAGTTTACTGCTAAGAACGAACTCCGTTTTGTCTGTGATTGCTGTTTGGGACTAATACGGTGATGCAGGGAGACAGAGGAGATTTATCGTCTCCTATGGGAGAACATCGTGGAATACATGAGCTGCTCGCCTAAAGCGTTTGCTACTTCGGATGGCTTAAAGGCCATATGCTTGCTGTGTATTTAAGTATTGAACCCTTTCTTGGAACTTTATCTTGGAAAGTGCTAAAGCCCATTGCTATCTGTAAATGAGCTCGGATGCAAAAATGAATGGGATTCTGAATCAGTGGCTTTGTCAATTGAGATTAATATTCAAACTTATTAAATTCTGCTAGTCTGTAATCTTGGTTGGTTCTCTCTTTCAAAATCTTTTTCCGTATGTTGATTAATGTGAAATATTGGATAGAGTTGCATCCATCAAAGAAGAGGATCATCAATCCAACTATCCCAGCAATCGCCCATCAGCCATAGTTATTGCAACTATCATCGGGACGTCGTTCCTTTCTTTTGCCCACATGGCACTCAAATATTGGTGCATCTTAAAGATTTGCATGGTAGTTTGCACTTCAGGATCATGCTTGGTTGACATGAACAGTGGCAGGGGAAGAGTATACGACCAATCGAGATACTGCAAAGTTTAGCTCCCCCGTTCAGTGATAGAATCCTTTTACATTGACAAATAAGAGATCATCGACAAATCCCCTAGTTCACCCACGACGTTCAGTGATGGGCAATGTCATGGGATAGTATACCACAGATGTGACGAGGCAACTCATCGAATTATAAGCGCATGGGAACACGCCTAAAGATTATGAAGATTAGCTATCTAACTAGGATTTTCCACCAAAGCATTAACCTGATCAGACACTTAATCAGGTCTCCATCCACAAAAGAATCAGAGTGAGACAACTAAATCAACATCTATTACCACACTCTTTTATCGTTAGAAAATGGTTACTCCCTTGAAGAAGCATACCATCGTGAAGAAGCACACCGCTACCTTCAAGCGTCATCAGTCTGACCGCTACAAGACTGTCAAGGTACAATAGCTGGATCTGTTCAAAAAAATAATAGCAGAAAGATTGGTCAGGATTTTATTCATGGAAAGCATCTAGACATGAATTCAAAGAAAAAAAGATTGGTCTTTACATGTAAGACTATTTGGGCGATGCAATCAATAACTGTGACAGTATTCTCAAATTTTACTGGATTCAGGACTAAAGATCAAAAATAATATTTGATATGTATTTATTTGGTCTGCGTTCGGGTAACAGTGTTCGTTATCACCATTTGGCAACCTAGAAACTCGATCAGGATACGTTTTGTGTCTGTCAGCAACAGGATAGTGCGGTATAAAGAATTAGAGCTAATAAACAGCGCTTTTTATATATATATATATATATATGCTTCTTTTAACAGGAGTCATGGAGAAAGCCTAAGGGTATTGATAACCGCGTTCGTCGCCGTTTCAAGGGCCAGATTGCCATGCCTAAGATCGGTTACGGAAACAACAGGCTCACCCGCCACATGATGCCTTCCGGCTTCAAGAAGTTTGTTGTCTCCAACATTGCCGAGTTGAACCTCCTCTTGATGCACAACCGCACCTTTGCTGCTGAGATTGCCCATAACGTCTCTTCCCGCAACCGCATCGCCATTGTTGAGCGTGCCCAGCAACTCAACATCAAGGTCACCAACGCTAACGCTCGCGTCAGAACCGAGGCTTAAATGGTCTTTTATGATCTTTAATTTCATCACTTTTTAGTCAATGAAGACTCAAAAAAGACCGACTTGCTTGAATAAAAATCATCAGAAAGATGGGTGCTTGTTTTACAATGCTTTTGGTGAGATGAGCAACGCTGGGTTATTTTATTGAGCGGCATCTATATTTTGTATAGCCTATTTTTCAAGATAATGTGAACTCATTGATCCGGAGACGATCAAAAGATTCCATGACCACGTAGAGGCTGTCATCTAGTGGCGTCTGATAATAAAGCCCTTCAGAACTGACGGGCTGCTTACGCATACGTTTTATTTTTGAATCCTTTTCAAACTGTTTCTGCTGCTCCTGAATAAGATGGATTAAATCTTGCTTCGACAAGGGTGCGAGCTCAGGATCCTGTTGAACAATGCGATTCACTTCATCCTCTTTCAGCTGCCTTCCAACAGCACCTTTCTTAAGCATCTGGGATTTGTTTCTTAAAGGTGTGGCAGACGTATTATGATGGAGACCAATCAATACCATGTAGATGCTGTGGCGATGGGCATACGATCTTTTTAACCGTAAAGCTATTCTGACTTTATCAAAAAGACGAAATTTGACGGTACAAAGGAGACCCGGGGGATATAATGCCAACACTTGAGGAGGAACTCGAAGACAGATTTGTGTCATTAAGTCTGTATCCATCTCACACCCAGAAACAGTAATCAAATGATCACCGTTGTGAAGATCAACACCCTCTTTTGAGCTCTTTCCTCCTTGAAGAACCGATAGAGGTATGATGATCTCCCCAGATTTCTCTTTGAGATAAACAGGGCCTTTAATCCCGAAACGAGGTACAAAAACAAAGAAACCGTTTTCACGAATCTCTGAAATAATTCCTGTCTCCACAAATAGGACATCTTCAGCTTCACTTTCGGCATTAATCGCTGCTGGATTCTTCGTTTTTTGTAGAACATAAAGGGTCTGGAATAACTCTGTCGAGTCTTTTTGTGCCAACTTCGACTCCCTGTTTTTGTAGTTGAGATGATCTGCCAACTGCTCCATCTTGAAGCCGTTTTTTAGCAAATCAGATGTTATTGGCGATACATGAGATCGACTAGGTTCTGTACTCTTGAGACATGCCATTAATTGTCTATGAACCACAAGATCCGCATAGCGACGGATGGGTGACTAGAGAAATCATTATCACGCACACTAACCAGTTAGAAAAATGGGTCAGGGCTAAGTGGGGATTCGATCTACTCCATGGTGTTTCCCATTGATTAACTTACGGTAAAGTGAGTGTAAAAGTCTAGAGCCAGGCCATAATGCGCATATTCATTAATGGGTTTGGAACCGGAAGAAATATAACAAGCCTCGGACATAGCCATGGTTGCCATAGTCTTCAAGAGCCGGACAAATTCGATATCGTCTTGACTCTTTGCAGCACAGTCTCGTAATGAATTGGCGAGCGCAAGATTTGAACTGGTATCGATTGTAAAACCCTATCGCGTTGAGGCAGATTAATAATGCATTAGGCATTAGCATCAATGAAGGAATTTTCTCGTTCCTACATAAGCAAGGTACTAAAATGTCCAATCTCATACTCTACTCTCTGCAGCGCGAAGGAGCATCTTGAAGTGACTGTCAATAGGAGGGGGATGGTGGCGGAGCATCGCTGAGTCTCGGAATCCTTCATAAATCTTTTTGGCTACATAAGAATTGGCCATGACCATGGCTTCTTCAATAACTTGATGTACTTCCAGTGATTGCTTTGGCAGAATGTCAGATATCCCACCACCCTCTTCTTTAAACTTGAATTTAACTTCTGAGCTCTCTAACTCCAATCCTCCACCGGCTATACGGCGTGCCTATGAAGTAAGTCGTAATATCAGTCAGTTCGCATCTAGGTGTTAAATTTAAAAAGGTCGATCGGATATACAAAGGTGGCTTTAACATACTCTAATTTTACGCATTGTTTTGGCCAAGAGGATGACAAGAGGTTTAAGCTGCTTGCATAGTTTCGCATCTAGCCCAGAAACAACATCCTTGCCATCCAAAAGTCCTTGCGCCTGCTCGTACTCCATTTCACATGCGGATCGAATGACTGAGCGCCCAAACCAGGCGTCAATTATATTCGCCTCGTGATCAAGAATCCAGATAACGGACACTATTATTTTTTTTTAAAAAAAAAAAAAAAAAAAAAATCAAAATTAAATACATAATCCTCCTCATTTGCTTCGCAATCACCAAAGGTACACTTATTAACGTAGAATCAAACAATAGCTCAACTCACTAGCGTATCGATCAACATGATGACGTAAAGAGCATACTTGCTCGCTCAAGACCTTGGGGAGCATATCAAATCGACGATCTGACAAGTATATCGTGGTTCCTCGAGCTCTAGCCTCAAGGTCCGTGAGCGAACCTTCCTTCACAAAGTAGCTGACATCTGCAATGTGAACGCCAAACTCAATATTGCCATTGCTAATCTCTTTAATCGAAATTGCGTCATCGATATCCTGGCAATTTGGAGGATCAATACTGAAGATGACATGTTTCCTGAGATCTCGTCGTCTACTAAGCTCCGATGGCTCAGGTATCCAGGGATTGTCCGATGTATTGATGGGCATCTCTCTGAGTGATCCTTCGCTGAACTCTTGAGTAGTCTGTGAAACAGAGATACCGTGCTCAATCAAAATGGCTGAGATTTCAGTATCCAAGTCATGAGCAGGACCAATGCTGCGTACGTAATGGCCATTCGGGTACTGCGAGCTGCTAGGCCAGCTGTCAATGCGAACAACGATTCTTTGGTTTACTAGGGCCTTTGGATCATGGTGACGGATCCTGATTTTTGGGATCACTGGATCCAAAGGGAGCACCAAGTGAAATGACCCTAATTCTTTCTCTGAGCCCTCCTGCAGCGTTGCAACATATGGCCGCCAGTTTCTAGACATGATGCCGACCACACGGCCCGTTGGCTTAATTTCATTGGAGCGATGCTGGCCTTCTTCATCATCACCTGCACCATGAATTTCTTCAGGATCATACGATATATAGGTCGACGGCGCTACCCAAGAGCTTTTGTTTAAAAGCTCGACGACCACCATGTCGCCATGAACGGCGCGATTACGGTGCTCGGAACCGACAATTACAATTTCGCCGATATTCGCGCCCCCTCGAATAAAGGCTTGATCTCGATGATTTGCACGAACTCGGAGAACACCCTGGAAGAAGCGCTCAGACTTTACACCGGCCTCAAGCTCGGACATGGGCTTATACTAAAACCGGAACCAATTAGGGAATATGTGCTCATGAGTACTTGCCAATGCTCTTCGGTACCATACCATCAAATATACCACCAATATCCATGATTATTCTCTACTTACTTCTTGGTATCCTATTCCATTTGAGCCCTTTCTTGAAATACTAAGTCCTTTGTTCTGGCAGTCGAGATCCTCTTCCAAAATCGCCTCCTTTAACGAACCTAATAATTCATGCAGCACTAATCCTGTAGGCCAGTATTCATCCAAATATGTCTTGAGAGACATTACCACGATGCCACTGGTGTCCATGTTAGATGATATATAGATATCCTCCTGCGTGAACTACAGTGAACGGTTAAAAAAAAAAGAAAGAAAGAAAGAAAGAAAGAAAGAAAGAAAGAAAAGAAAAGTTAAATGGTAATGCAAAGCCTAACCATACTTGAAGTATTATCTAAAGCTTTACCTGCTCTGAGAGTAAAATAATCGGAGCCTTTCCCAATAAATGGTAGCGATACCATCTTGCTGCCTGCACGAGAGCTCGCCAGTCCCTATGTTCAATCGATTCATGTACCTCGCGTAAAACCAAAGTGTCCTGACAATGCTCGTTGCTAAAGACCACGCTTCTGCGACGGGGATCTTTAACTACTTGTCGCAAACTCTTGTATGTTCTTGACTTATCCTCGTTTTGAAGCTAGATAAGACACAATGAAATAGGCAGGCATTAGAAGCCAATTCATCCTCCAACAAAGTTATGAATCAAGGTTCGATTTTGTTGTTCGAATTATATCTTTCAGCTTGTTACCCTCTGAAGAACTGTCTCTGTGAATATAATATTTGTCAATTCTTCTTGCTCCAATAGTTCTACATAGCGCAAAGCGACCTATGTCATCATAAATACATCAATATAGGTTACGATATTAAAAAAAAATCAATTGAACGTGCTTGATAGCAAGCCATACCGAATAGTCTGGAATGAGATAGTACTGAGGTTCTTGGCTTAAGAGGCTTGACTCAACAACGACTTTCTGATGGCATTGCGGTTTTAATGGACATTGACTTGAAAGGCAAGGGATATCCTTGCGAAGATAGACTTTAAGATATTAAAGGGCAAGGGATAGATATACTTATTAGAATAATAACAGTAATAATAGTATAATAAAGGTAAAATGAACAAAATTGGAGTGGAGCTTATAATAAATGAAGGAAACAATGAATCATGTACCCTCACGAACACGTTTCACCACCGTATTCTTGTTGGTCTTGCGAAAATGCACATTCTCAGTTTTGAGCATGTTGGAGCAAATGGGATGAGTTAGTTTTTACATCTTTTTCTTGTTCTCTGAGTATTTGGGTTTTTGAGAGTCACAGGTGTACTCATTTATTTCCCTCTGTTGTAATATTCTCACACCATTTTCCTTTCCAGTTCAAATTTTTCGTTTTCGTATTACTACAGTTTCAACTCGGCAAAGTTATGGATCACGATGGAGGACACAGCGATCATGGTGACGGGCACGATGGTGAACATAGAGGTGGTGACCACGGTGGAGGGGAAGGCTCCTGCAGCATGAACATGCTCTTCAACTGGGATACAGAGAATCTTTGTGTCGTCTTCGAATCATGGAAGATTAACACCCCGCTTGGATTAATTTTCTCATGTCTCATCGTTATCGGCTTGGCAGCATCGTATGAACTGCTTAGAGCACAGTCCCGTCTATATGAAGAACGCTTGCGCGAAGGTGCCAGAAAGAGACATGGTGGTGAATCTACCTCAACCCACGCTCACGTTGGCAGTGATATTAGTCACGATGATGAAGAGCCTCTCTTGCCTACTAGGAACTTGACTTTCCGGTAATATATTAAACATGTATTGTAACTGAAAGTTTTTTTTTTTTTTTTTTTTTTTTTTTTTTGTTGACGATAGGAGCTTCATCTAAGTTTATGTTTATGCCATGCGTATTCTTTTCTTTTTATTTACACTATTAAAGGTTGTTGAGACAGCAGCAACTCACTCGCGCCTTATTCTACATGGCTCAAGTCTTTGTCGGCTTTTTCCTGATGCTCATTTTCATGACCTATAATGGATATCTCATGGCAAGCACTGTTATAGGCGCGGGTCTTGGTTTTTATTGCTTTGGAGGTGACGCTTTATCTTCTACGAAAGCTTTGAGTTGCCATTAAAAAAAGGATTTATTTTAGTCCTTGGCTTCAAGAATTTGCTTGGCATTTTGTCTATTATCAAATAGTTTGCTACGCCACGTCTTGAGAATAAAATATACAATGAACAAATATATTTTTAAAATACTCATTTTGAATTAGAAATAGGGAAAAAAAATTTATGTACATGTACATTGAATTAACTGGAACCAGTGGCCACCAGCTCAATCATCATTTTTGATTAGAAAATATAATCAAATGAAACGGATAGATCATGCAGATCATTTGAATCATTCTCAATCATCTATTCATCCCAACCTCGTTTCGCCCTCCAAGTATACAGTAAAATGTCTTCCGTCAACTCTGATATTAATAACCTGCTCTCCTACAATGGCCTGAGTGGCCGGTGTAGTGAGTCTGAGGAGAGTGTCTTGTTGACAATTAAAATGTTGTGTCTAAAAAAGGAAAGTATTCTATTCGTTTTAAAACGTGATAAATACATTTATTCATGAACAATTTTAGGAACGTCCTTTGACGGAAGTTTCTGCGTTTCGTTACTCAATTTGTGGGACAAATTATTACTTGAGGTTGATTTCTTTCCTGTTCCTGTCTATTGACAAGTTTTTGTGTGTTCAAGGAAATCTACTTTGTCGTTCGAACAAGAATGCACAAAATCATATAAATACAACACGCATTCCCAGAAAAAATTTCTTAACAACAACAACAGCAACAAAAAAAATAAAAATAAAAAAGATTCCCATTCAGAATTCACTGGTCCATTCAGACTTTGAACAACAACAGTAAACGATAACGGTAACAGCTAGCAGCGACAAAAAAACATGCATACGAACCTAGTCCTCGGAACCACTGTAGCTGCAGCTGCTATTGGCTACTTCTTCAAACCTAAAAAACCAAAAACCGAGCTCGAGGTAAACTCGGTGCCCATCCCAACCGTCCCCTCTTATCTTCCTCTCCAGGTCGATAGTCTTCTCAAGTATATCTTTTCAGTATACGCTGAAAAAGATGAATTCGAATACTTAAGACATCTTTCAGCTCAATACGGAAATACCCTCAATTTTCGCGGTTTCAACGAGGATTTAATCATTGTTTTGGATCCCTCGAGCATTCAGCACATTCTAGCTAAAAACCAGCCAAATTATGAAAAGGGTAAGCAATTCAAAGACCATAGACCATCGATCGTAAAGCTTTTCTCTTCTGGTTTTGCAGCATCTCCGGTTGAACAATTCATTCATATTCCTTACGCTACAGGCGCCGAATTTCAAGCGATATTCCATGATTTCCTTGGTAACGGTATTTTCAATGCTGATGGTGAAACTTGGAAGATTCAGCGACATCTCGCAAGGTAGATTGCATGACCCGATGTAGCGTCTCTGATCCCCTTTTCTCTTCATCCATGCTTACGCTGCTTCATTTTCTTGTGGTTGGTTAGGCCTCATTTTCAAACATCCGAGTTTAGAGATGCAGCTCTAATCAACAGACATGTAGATGAGCTTTTAAAGGTGATTGACAAGCATCTTGCCTCTAACCCTGAAAAGCCTATTGAAGTCCAGGTGAGTGCCTTGTACAAACTTGAAACCTATCGAAGTTGCTGTTGTTATATTTTATATTGATGGTATTTTCCTTTTATATATATATATATATATATTTTTAGAGCCTTTTCTGCAGATTCACTCTTGATGAAGCTACCGAATTTTTGTTTGGTGAGGCTGCGAATGCCCTCCAGGATGAGGACAATGACTTCGCCACTGCATTCAATTATACCCAAGCAATTACAGGCTGGCGCTTCCGTGTACCTCTCTGGAGATATGTGGTACCAACCAGACGATTCCTAAAGGAAATCAAAAAGTTGGATGATTTTGTGTACAGGATCGTCGACAAAGGCATCGCCCGTGAGGAGGCACGTACAAGGGAACAGGAGAAAAATCCATCCGATGATGAACATGGGGGAAAAGGTGGACATGAGAATCTTCTTGACCACTTCTTGAGCCAGAGACAAGAATACGGCTTTGACAGAGAATACCTTCGTGACATGCTCCTGAACTTCCTGCTTGCAGGTCGAGACACAGTATGTAATAATCCATCGCGTCTCTTAATTTGTTATACTCCGTTGGACATTTACTTACCTGCACCAAAAACTTTTTTGTCCTTACGCGAAAGACGGCCTCTCTCTTAACATTCACCGTGTGGGAACTGTCAAAGCATCCACATGTCCTTGAAAAACTTAAGCGGGAGGTTGCTGAAGTTGTTGCAAGCGGTACCGCTCCAAGCTATGATGACATTAAAAAGCTCAAGTACGTAATGAATTATATTTGATAGAATGAAGAGAAAAATCGCATGTGCAGCTTAGAATTTTCACTGATTTTTTCTCGTCTATCATGAATATTCTTAGGTATCAGAAGCAAGTGATTAACGAAGTACTCCGACTTTACCCTCCAGTCCCATATAACACAAGGTAAGCTCCTGATAGTAGAATAAGGACGAATTCAATTTCCTTCTTTTTCAATCTTCATAACATGTATCACTCCGTTTGATTAGACATAGTGTGGAGGAAGATGTTCTTCCAAATGGATACTACATCCCGCCGAATACAACTGTGGCCTATGGTGCGTATTCTACTCATCGTTTAGTTGATCTATGGGGAGATGATGCACTTGAGTTTGATCCTGATCGTTGGGGACCTGAACGTGTGGGTAAAATCAAGCCTTTCATGTTTGTGCCTTTTCACGCGGGGCCTAGAATCTGCTTGGGTCAAAATTTGGCATATACAACTGCTCAAGTGACACTAACACGACTTTTGCAGAAATACGATATCAAAGCATCGCCTGGTTTCAAACCTGAATTGATGGCCGATATTGTTTTGTTTTCTCGCAACGGGGTTGAAGCCGTGCTTGTGAAGCAAGATTTGTCCGAAATCTGAACACTTACTTTAAAAGATGAAGTCTTATACTATTCATACTGTATCGTTTATGAGGTGATTAATGTCAAAAAACAAAACGTTCTGTTATTAATAAAGCGAAAAAAGAAAATGGTTTAAGTTGATGAGACTGTTGTGTTGGTTCTCCAAGAGGCAGTTGTTTAAAAAAAATGCATGAAAGGAGGCTCGCGGCCTGGCATCTCTTTTTTAAACAGCCTGGTTGTCAAGTGTGGTCATGAAGAACAGATTGAAAAGAGGGCTCCTAGTAGCAAAAAATAATATCATCGATGATGAACATCAGACATCTCACTGTCGCTCGTCAACAAAGATGTCCCGATACCTCTCCTACTTCTTCCCAGGCGTTTGAGTGTATTGGGAAGGAGGAGGGTGAATGATCGCGGATCATTCATATCGTTCTTACTGCGACCTCTCTCTCCTATTTTTTTTTTCTTTGAGGCGGGAGAAATATCCGTAGTAATCACATAACAATAGTTGAATACAACTAAACTATCAACGCATTGATCCATCTTTCTTTCCTCTCTTGTTTTCGTTTTCTCTTTAAAATCATCATTTTCGTTCTCCTTTGTTCACTTGCTCCCTCATTGACCGCGTGTGTTTTCTTACACCCGAACGTTTGAAGACCACACCCCCAAGAGTTAATCTTTAATTCACATCTCCATCGCTCATCTATCTTATTTTTAACTTATACATTTATACTCATCATTCAACATGGCCGATGTCGAGAGTGCCCCCGAATTCGCACCTTCTAGCCCCATCACAACTCAGAAGTCAGAGAATGCTGAGAGTGCACCTTTAGATGTTACCGAGACGCAGCTTCAAACCACTAACAGCACACCTGCATCCTCCAGTTTACCTCAGCAGCAGGATGCTGAAGTAGACAATGAAGCTATTATGGATAACATTGAAGGAGGGGCCGCTATTCCAGACAAAGCCCAGAAGATACCCCCAGCAAAGTCTGCAATCCCAGCACGACGCACCTCCACTGCTACTGCAACCACTGCTGCTACTGCTACCACCAAGGCCAAGGGCACGCCTGCTGTTAAGGCGCCCGTCAAATCTGTGGCAGCATCTAGCACCAACACCAAGACTGCGACGACAATCAAGGCTGGAGCCACAGGAAATTCTTCAGTCGCCAAAAGAATCAACACTCCTAGCACCACCCCTACCGCTGCTGTGAAAAAGGCTCCAGCCGTTGCTCCAAGTACCACTGCTTCGAGCAAGGTCACTGCAACCGCTCGTCGTCCAACTGCCTCTGCCTCTGCAATCTCAGCTACAACAAAGGCCACTACTACCACTATCCGACCTACCCCTGTCAAACCTGCTGCCAGCCCTGCAACAGCTAAAACCACTTCTACAGCAACCCGTGCTCCAGCCAAAGCTGCCACTGGCTCAATGACATCACGTACTCCTACCAAATCTGTACCATCAGCCTCCAAGACTGCTAGCACCACCGCAACTAAGGCTGGTATCGCACCAAAGGTTCATTCGAGCCGGGGCAGTATTTCTCCTGTGGGTAGTGTACGCTCCGTAAGGTCAGGTACCCCCACTGGTTCTGAAGCGTCTGAGCTGAAAAAAGAACTTGATAGTATTCGTGAGAAGGTAGTGCATTGTGTATGATTTTGGATAATATTGTTTGTCCTGCAAGGTAAATTGGTCACCAATACCAACTTCTTTCCCCCTTTCTTTTAACTACCACTTTAGTACGAAGAGGCTACAGCCGCGTTGAAGATCAAGGAAGAGGAGCTTGTTGCTTTACGAGGACAGCTTGAGAGTGGCTCGAGCTCACATGCGGATGCTATTGCTGACACAGTTTCTAGCGACGGAGGAGAAACTGTTGTACCTGAAATTGATTTCTCAAAGATCGAGCCACAGGTGGGGTTGTCACACCCAACCGTTTTTTTTATTTATTTATATAATGTTATTGGGCGGATGACCTTCCACGTGAACAACCTGCATGTCTGTCTAAAATGGATTCTCACAAGAGAGTATGCTCTTTTTTTTTTTTTTTTTTTTTTTTTTTTTTGGCATATTAGAGTCAGGCCATTGTTGCAGAAGCAATCGCAGCCAAGGAGCAAGAAATTACTGCTTTGAAGAACGAAGTTGAGAGCTTAAGCGGACTCGTTGAGGTACTTTTTTTTTTTATAAAAAAAACTGGCATCAGAGCCCAATTTTTATATACTTCCTGACAATGTTTGGATCTAGATCAAGGAATTTAAACCACCATTATTTACTTACATTTCAACCCATCGATATCATTAGAAATTGCGTACCGAGCATGAGGCCAAGATCAAAGAGCTGACAGATAGACAGGTCGAGAAGGCTGCAGCGCAGGAGATGGAGCTGGCTTTGCTCCATCAAGAGCTTGCAGAATACACAAAAAAGTACGAAGAGGTTACAGAGCTTCGTAAGAAACTTGAAGAATCTCAGGCTTTACACTCATCTACTCTTGAGGAGCTTAATAGAATCCATGAAGATAAGCTTCAGAGCCTTGAAATTGAACTGCAGGCAGCAAAACAAGAGCGCTTTGGAGCCGAAGATGACAATATCAAAGAAAAGTATGGGAAGGACCTGGAAGAGCTTCGTCTCAGTCACCAGAAAGAGCTTACCCAACTGTCGTCAGATCACAAAAAAGAATTGGATAGGCTTAAGGAACAGCTTGAAGAGAAAATTGAAGAAGCAAAAGAACAGGTTGAGGTATGCTTATGACGGGTTATTTTAGTCCTGAGATCCAACCCTTTATATATACATACGCTATCATTACTTATGTATTTTATGATACCCTTTCATAACTTAAACTTAGACTGAATTGCGCGAGCGGCATTCCAAGGAGCTGAGCGATGCCTTAGCTGCACATACTGCAGCCCTCAATGAGCGTGCAGGAGCAGAGTCAGGAGCGATCGAGGCGATCCAGAAGAAGCACAACCAGGACCTCGCTGATCTGAGAGAACTGATTGAGGCTGAACATAAAGCTTACATTGAGTCTGTGCGAGGCTCTCACCAGACCGAGCTGAACAAGCTACAGGAGGAACATACGGCACGCATCAGTGAACTGGAGGGTGAACTGAAAGCACTGCAGGAGAAATGTGACAGTGAGATATCTGCTTCGAAAGCAGTAATCAATACAGATGTTGAAAGCTTGAAGGCTGCCCACGCTACCGAGCTAGAAACCCTCAAAGCGATCCACGCGGAAGAACTCAATACACTGGAGAAGACTACTAAGGTTGGTTTTTTTTTTTTTTTTTTTTTTTTTTTTTTTTAAAAAAAAAAAAAAAAAAACAAAAGTAACAATATTTAATATTAATTACAGATGCTAGTCATCATAATTGCTATTGCTGAACTAACGCGTGATATTTGGTTCTTTTTCCTTATAGGGCAAGATGCAATTGGAATTAAGCGCTGTTGAAGGCAAGTTCGCGGAATTTAAGGCAGATGTGGAGAGCAGTCAAAATGCAGAACTTAAGAAGCTTGAGACCAATTATGAGGCACGCATTATGGAGCTAAGTAAAGAGCATGAGAACAGGATCAAAGAACTGCAGGATGAGGCCGACGAACAGGTTCAAAAGGCTGTTGAACAGGTTAAAGGCACGTTTGAAGATGATCGTCAGGAACTGGATGCTGCTCGTGTAAAGGAACTTGAGGATCTTAAGCAATTACATGCTTCAACCATTAAGGATTTGGAACAGCAACTCGCCAAGGCTGAAAAAGCTGCCAAGGAGGCTTTAGAGAATTCTGAAAGAATCCGATCCGAGCTGCAATGCGAATTGTCTGCAACCAAGGCCGAGGCTCAGGCAAAGGTAGATGCCGCCAAAGCCTCTCTTCAGGAGCTTGTTGCGAAACACGAGGCTGAGAACCATGGCAACACAGATGTAATTGAACCTTGCAGCTTTTTTTTTTTTTTTTTTTTTTTTTACATCTCCACAGATGTAGAACTCGTTTTAACAAAAGCAGGGGTGTACATATCCTGTCCTATTTATTCTCTCTTAGTCTGGATCAGCCATCCACTCAGAGGAGTTGGAGGCCCTTCGTGCTAGTCAAGAAAAGGTTATAAAGGAAGCTCTTCAAAAGGAAGAGGAAGAACTTTCTGCCAAGCAAAAAGACCTAGAGGAAGAGCTGGAGTCACTTCGAGTAAGTCTTTCTGCTGCCCAGAAGGATCGTGACGAGACTATTGCAGCTGCAGCGTCCAAGGAATCACAACTTAAAAATGAGCACAGTAGGATGTTGGATAAGCTTGAAAAAGACTACAAGAACCAACTCGAAGAACTGAAGGCGTTAAATCGTGACCATACCGAAAATATGTTTAAAATGCAGGAGGAGCAGAATCGAGACCATGAGACCCGTCTCCAGCGCGCGTTAATATCTCATCAAGAAGAACTGCAGGGATTAAAAGAGCGATACAAAGTTCAATTGGAGGGTAGAGAAAAGGAATACAAAGACCAGGTCTGGGCGCTTGAGGAGAAACTCAAGGCAGTGGAAGCCGTCGCTGCCAATGCCCAGGATAGTATGGCTCTTACTGCAGAGTTGGGAAGAGTTACTAAGGAACTTCAGGAGCTCAAGGTAAGGGAATGTGGCTTAATTGAGAGGAAAGGACAGAAAAATTGAACAATAGCCTAATACTTACATGTATCACGGTTTCACGATACGTTTGTTTATTATATTGTGGATCTATAGGGCGAGAATGAACAACTTACTAAAATGATGAACCAGCTTCAGGATTCGATGATGACTCGTGCATAATTAAATACCTTGTCTATCATGACTAGCAATATTGGAAGTTACCTATTGAAAAAAAAAAAAAAAAAAAAAAAAAAAAGGTTTAATAATATGCAGGGCTATCAGGAGCGTATTCTCAGACATTACTCAAATAAAAAAAAAAGAAAAAAAAATAGTGTGTGCAACACCTAATGTTTAAATAGATCAACTCTTGATGTGACAAATATGCACAAAAACCTTCCTATCTTTAGTAGAAATCTTAATGCGTCTTTTCATAAAAAACTTTATTTTGATTGTCATCATTAAACGTCTTCTACCATTATCGCATGCAATGGCTGCTTTTTTTTTTTTTTTTGATGGTCAAAAGGATGAAAAGCTCTAATTGTGAATTTAGTAAGGGATGCCATTGGTTGCCTTCTGGAACGAGTCATAGAGAACGGTACGCTTATTCAGATAGGATTCATCAACCCTCTCAAGAATAAACTCAGCTGCAGAACGCTCTGATCGATCCAACTGGAATCGGGATCGCATTCGTTTAATAGTTTCGCCTCGGAAGCAGGGTAGACCAGACTCGAGCATCAATGCCACCAGCTGCATAATTTGTTCCGCATAGGGTCTAGAAGCCAAGAATGCCTTGACGCACAGCTCACAGAACCATCGATAACCTTGATCCTCTACACTTGAGCCCATAATCTGAATCATCTCTGATGTCAGTTTGAAAGGTGAAGATTCAAAGTTGATATTTCCTCCGGGTGAGATATCCAAGATGAAACCGAAATCAATATGAATGACATGACCTTCGTCGTCAATCATAATGTTACCATTGTGTCGATCCTTGAACTGAAGTAAGTACGAGATGACACTGTAGGAGGCAACAGACTGGATAAAGTTGTTACGTGCTTTTTGATACTCAATTGAGTCAATGCCGCCATACTTGGTGATAAAGTAATCTTGCAGATTGTTGACTTTTTCACGACCAAGTTGATCACGGGAGATCGAGTTCGGGATCACATCAATCATACCACAGCCAGGCGCTGTAGCAACAATACGATAAGGAAACAGATAAAGATCCAATCCGACACTTGTGAAGATGTTCTTAAAGACTGCAATCAGTTGGATAGCCAAAACATCTTGTCGGCAATCGTCTCCAACCTTAAAAATGGCAGACTGCCAGACATCATATGTTTTTGGGATCTGCTCCTCTTGTTCCTCTTCAGCAGAACCTCGCTTCATGATAGCTTTATCCAATGTTGACTCTTCGCGATTCTTGCGGACCTTGAACGTGGCCATGAAAGGCGTCTTAGCGTGGCTCTGCAACGGCCTTCCAGACCTCTTGTCAATATCCACAACTACACCTTCAGGATTACTAGGTAGATACACGCCCACATCCACTACAATCTTGGCCATCTCTTCATCGATCTTCTTCTTCTTCTCGGGTTTCGTCTTCTTTACAAGCGGCATCAGTGTTCCAGAGATGGACGTGACTTGGTTGAAGAAAGCAAACTCGCGTTCGTAGAAGCTCTTAGCTTCTCCTGACAGACCGTTCACGATATTGTCGATTATTCTATCTAACGTCGGCTTGAGTACATCGGGAACTTCGCATTTATTATCTCGGTACATGTTCGCCTTCATGTTCCAAATAATCTGGTGCGCAAACAATTGAGATACACGAGCGGCGCGCATGATGTACTTTTCCACATAGCCAAGGTCGTCATGGCGTAGTGCTTGTACAATTTGAGGAACATAGAAAAAGACTACTTCCACAGGTGAATGCTCAAGCGAACGCATTGCATACTGCAGTACCATTGGATTGTTATGGAATGCTGGTTGGAAGTATGTAATGGCGGTAATAGATGGCACAGGCTGCCAGAATAACAAATACTTGAGCTGGGTGGCTGTATAGCGGAATGTTCCCTCGCCCAGCAAAATTTGAATCGCATCCGCGTCACTGACTGCGGCAAACGGATCGCTAGCCAGCAATTGACCCAGCTCGCTAGGAATCACAGCATTTTTGAAGCGAGTCATTAATTGGAATGCCAAACTAGGAGAAACACTCCATGCAGATCGGACCATGGCTCGCCAGGCTTCCTCCGAGAGGCTCTTTTCGTGCGTGTTGATACCAGGATTGGCACCGGTCTGGACCAAAGGAGTTGTCCATACACCCAGGCGGTTAAGTTCATTCTCCGTCAGCAGAGAGAGCAGACGTCGAGACTGAGTATGATTTCGAACAATGGTATCACGGGTTAATTTGTCAGTAAAGACATAATCTGTAGTAGTAAGTCCAGCTTGACCATCACCAGTCGTCTGCATGCTAGAAAGAATGGAGTCCAAAAGAATCTTATCCTGGTCTAGTGCCACCCCAAATTCTTTCATAACCCTGGTTTCAGCCTTGCTTAGCATTTTGTTGCCTCCGAACGACCACCTTGGAGCCAACTCGAACCAGGTGAGAGCAGATAGGTACAAAACTGATCGAAGTTTATATTCAATTAGAGCCTCTAGCCGATTGTTTTGAAGAAGGCGGAGACCCAAGAGTAGCAGTTGGAATCGACCCTCTCTTGCCAACGGATGGGTACTCATCTTGTAACCATTACCGAATGTGAGCTGAAGCAGACGTGTGAAGGTATCAATGATGTCACGGTTATTATAACGTGTTGCCTGGAACCGACTGGATAGGAATTCGATCCAGATAACGTGGGGTGTAAAGAGATACGATGCGACCTTATAGCTCTTCTGACGTGCCTTCTTGTCAGTGGGGGCGTATTCCATTCGAACGCGGAAGGGATCCTCAGAGTCCAATAAGGGCGAGAACAGACCCTTCTGGTGGCGACAGGCCCATTCCCATCCTGCCGCGACCTCTGACATTAATCGTTTCTCCACTTCTGGCTTCTCTGTGATGAGCCAGTTCCAGACTGATGTACCAATTTTGAGACTGTCGGGTGTGAATAGGTAAATAGGGATCCAAGCAACCATCTTTACCAGATCCTCTTCGCCTTTGTTCAGCGCCACAATTGCACTTACAGCGCGGTGCAACGCATTCGCCAAGTCCTTGTTCGAAACAAATTGGTCATTCTTGGCCTGATGCGCCATCGTCTGAAGGTTTTCACGAAGTCTATGCACCTGATTCTGAAGAATTGGGCCAGGCTGAAGAGAAGTATCGCGCGAGAAGTTCTCCATACCTCCGATCTCACCCTGGTAACGACGACGAGCCGAGAACTCCTGGAAGAACACTGAAGAATTATCAAGTAGCACTCCAGGAATGTTAGACAAAGTTTCAAAGCAATTTTGATCCTTGATCAAGTCTTTGCCAGAACGAGCAGCCAGAGTGCGGCCCATATGAACACGGCTGATGCCAGTATGGATCTTTTCAGAGTCTGCAAGGTAGTCCTGTAGCAAAGCGTCGACCTCCTGCGGTGAGTTGGCCATGGCTGCAGCGATCCATTTACGAGTTAACTCCACGAACTTTGTTAACAGCTCACGACGATAGGGGTACGAATCTGGTAGGTTGATTGTGACATCAACCATGGACGACGTGAAGCTATATACAGGACAATACTCATCCGTCAACTCGTTCTCACAACTGAGCCAAAGCAGCTCGCTCACTTCAAGAACCAGTGTTAACAAAGTCTTGTCACACATGAGTTGTGGAAAAGCTGAAATTATACGATGGATCCATTTAGTAGCCAGACCACTCACTCTCTTCAGACGATGGGCGCATCCGACGATCAAGTTGCGGATCTGGTCCCGTACTTTCTCATCCAGTCTGTGCGTTAGAACCGTAGTCTGGGTTTCGGAAATGAATACGTTGATGACCTGGTCCGCAATGGATTCCAAGCAGGCTGTCACTCCTCCGTCATTCACCCCAGTATTAGCAAAGTAATGGAGGATGTGTGAGCAGTTTCCTTGTCGGCTACGCATGGTCTCCAAGTGATACACTGATAACAAGAACACAACTTTAGCGGAGCTTAGAGTTTTGATCACGACCGCTTGTGCAGGCAAATAGCTTGTCAATGTAGCTCGCATTGCAGCCTTTTGGTCATCCACGACCCCGCGAGGCAAAACCGAGTTATACTCAAGGTCTCCCTCAAGGTAGGCACTTCCGTGGTCATTCGAGACCAGAGCGGGGGTCTTCTGGGCAATAACGTACAAGGCATCATTCCAGGGCGAAGCCGAATCTTTGACAAAATCAAAGAGGATGCAGTGGAACCAAACATCGCGGAAGAGTTTGACGTCCTCTTTAGTTGGGTTCAGATGAGGTTCCAGGTCTTTATGGGAGAGAAGGCTTGCCAAGATAGGCAAAAGTCCTCCAAGAATGGCTGCAAGCGAAGTGTACTTGCCGTGGCTACGTTTAGTGGAATGGTGATGTGACTGGATTTGAAGGCCTTTTTCTGAAAACAATTTGAGCAGCGTAACCATGTATGCGTGATATAAATCAGGCCGCGAGTGGATATCTTTTGCGAGGCGCATCAACGAGGCAGTAACCTATAGGAGGTGCAATAGAACGAAGTGTTGTGAGTCAGAGAGTGCTAGGGACTATACTGCATTAAGATATCTTTCATATCTATAGATACTCACTGCTTCTGCTAGTTCCTCCGAGATGGCCTTCTGATCAGTAGAAATGGATTGCTTTGCAAGATTTGCAAGGACCTGGGTGATATCGTTAAAAGATGTCAAAGATCCTGTCAAAGCAATATCGGTTAATCGTCTCACAATAACGCAGTCTAACTGGGAGCTGTGGTTGCGGATCTGCTGTGCCAACATTGACAGAACTAAAGGTGTGACCTAATATTGTAGGCATACAGTAGAAATATATGAGAAACAATTATTCATACCAGTTTCTAAAAGCACAAGGCCATTTGGCTAGCTTCTCTATTCTGTATCTTACCTTTTCGCTTTGATAAATGCTTGCAATTCTAGCAATGGAAGCCACCACATTATCCTGAATGGCGACTGATTGAGCATGCATAGGAAGTTTATCTTTAGTGTTATGGCTATAAAGGGTATTGAGTAGCGCATAAATAGTTGACATTGCAACTTCCTCGCTTGCAGATGAATTCTTGAGAGTCTGAGCTAAACGTTCAACGGCATGCTCCTGCACTGCTGCGGCTTCAGTCCCCTCAAAGGCTGACGAAGGGGTCGTCAAGAATTGCTGTTGCAACGCAGTCATCTCTCTCGTGGCGTCATTAAAGCTATTTTACGATGAAAGGAAAGTTAATAGAGCCGCTAATAAAGTTTTCAACATCAAAAATGCTTTTCAATATGCACGATTAAAAGGAGGAGGAAAACTTTACTTGATACCCAAGACCGCTGAGCAATCTAAGGCTGCCGTGTGAATCCAAAACTCCTCGTGGCGCACTTGGTTAAAAAGGCATTGGGAAAGATGGGAAGGCAGAACATCATCTAATTCATGGATATACAAGCTTGCGAGGGAAGCAAGTTGCTATGGAACAAAATGTGAGAAACAAAAAGGTTGTTAAGCCAATGAGACATTAATAAAAAACTGCGGAAATGGCAACATTTTCGTGGTACATACAAGGGAAGTTCCCATGATCTCGCAGTAATAAAATTCTTGAGATACTGATCCTTTGGCCAGCAATTCATTGGCAAAGGCACGCATGTCTGCAAAAAATTGCAGCGACATGATGTATTCTGCGCGCATAACTTTTGTAAGGTCCAGTTGACCCCCTGTGGTTGAAACTGGACTGTTTTTGACGGGACCCGACAAGAGCAAGGTCCAAATATCCTTAAACTCTGCTGATCTCCAATCATCTACATCAGTGGTAGTGTTAGAGACATCTTCATAAGCGGTTGACGGCCTCTCGTCGTCACGATCACTGCTGAGTTCATGCAAATGTCCTTGTTTAACGCTATGGATTTCCAAGTCTTCCACTAGCGAGCTGCTGGCATCCTTTGACTTGTGAATATGAGAGTGAATGAGGCGAGCAATCATATTTCGCTTGACAGTCAAAACTTGTAGGATCACTAGGTTAGAGCCCAGGATGATACTCTCGCGAGCATAGTTGGCAAGTACTTTGTATGCATGTGAAGTTCCTGCCCCCTGTTTGATAGATTCAATCGCCTTGCGAATATGATCTGTCGTGTCACTGGAGAGGAACGCCTTTGAATGCAAAACCAGGGCAGAAAAGTCATGAGGTTCGAATGCCAATGTAGAAGACTCCAAAGCAGTCAAGAGGCCATTGAGTGAAGGAACAATAAACTCGCAGATCCTTTCAGCTATAGACACATTAGATTTTATGAGCGCGCGTGAAGAGAGTAAAATGAGCAAGGTTTTCACAGCTTAAGTCGCATCGGGATTATATAGGTTTCACAGCAAGCTTTCTATTACCATTCTCAGCGAGAACCAAAGTAGAGAGCTTGTCCAGATAGGACCAGATGGAGTCCAAGATAGATTGACGAGCGGATGTCCTTTTGTTAGCGATGACAAGAAGGTGAGCGACAAGATTGTATGTCAAATTGTCGGCTGGTGATTTAGCTACATCCAGATCAAAATGTAAATATAGAAAAATAAATTGATAAAACGATATTAAGTTCCTGTGGCTCCCATGAGCGCTTAAGAATAGGATACCAACAGATAAGGTTCTCACTTACCTCGACGACCAAATCCTGGGCCAAACTTGTAGTTTGGTAGTGAATGGAGATATGCAGTCAAACGAGGCACAAGTTCATCATCAAACTGACCTGACGACTCTGCAGCGAACTTTGCTTGAGCCATCAATGCATGTTGGTGGCGCATTGTCTGGTTTTAAAAATAAACATGATCGTTTATTGGTTAGTCCGTTCCAGTCGTTGGCACTATTTATTTTATTCTTATATTTCTTATCATTACCATGAGCCCGCCCTCAGCAAGCGAATGATCAGCATTGGCTACAGCTGCGTCTCCACCGCCATTCAGTTGGGGTTTAGGTGAAGATGGCTGGAAAGATGAAGGTAAAGCAGGACCAGCCCTGATAAGCCTGTGCACTTCCTCCGTGGAAGTCGTCGAATCCTTGGCCAGGGTCGTGGCCAAGGTTGACAGAATTTGGGCATGCAAGTCGAATTCCAAGCTGATGAAAAAGATGAATGAGGAAATGATGAGATGTTAAAAGGAAATGAGTGCATAAGCGATCACAAGTAGCCATAGACAGGAATAGTCTTTTAGACCGTATTCGAGTATCAAGAGTAATTATATTTCTTACGAATTCATAGTGGAAAAATAAATAGGGTAGAAAAGCGGTGTCTGGGGGCTACGACAATTTAGATGGGGATGGATTGAAGGTGAAGTTAAGTGCGATAATGGAAACAAGGGTGTCGGGAGAAGGAGATGATGATTCGGAAGAAAAAGAGGAAAAGGAAAAGGAAAAAAGAAAAAAGAACAAGGAGAAAGAAGAAAAGGAAAGGGCTTGACAACATGTGCACATGTGGGAGAGAGATGTGTTTGTTCACAAAGTTAATTTAATTAGAGTTGAGCATCGTCGCTTCGGGACAGGCTCCAGAAGACAATCAAACGGTTGTGTAACGTTTGGAAGATTTAGAACATTTAGATAAAAAAGACATTCACAGGGATGAGGAGACATCAGTCAGCATCAAAGCACCATAAAGCGAACAGCTTCCTCTTAATAAAACTTTTTATTTGTAGGAATGTGCGCACTGTTCATTCCAATGGTCGAAGAATGAAAATACCTTTGGCGTTAATCAAAGACGTATAGTATAACACATGTTCTTTGTAAATAAACACATTCAAATAAAGTAAATATATACTCGTATGCTTCTGTTTGAAAAAATAATCACATCCAACTCTTCAATGGTATCCGCTGGTTGCTAAAGAATTGTTCATACATCTGTCAAGGCTCTCATCTATTTTCTCTTTTAGTTTAATATATATATATATACAATACGGCAAAATGATATAATTAGGTTATAATAGTGGAGATTTGTCAATTTATTTGCTTCCACCACTCATACTGCGGGCGTAGCGGCCTTCGATACTTAATACAGAAACAAGTCCTCGATGTGCCTCGACTTGATAGGGAGCGTATGGTGTATGCTCGCCGTCCATTGAAATATAGCCTGACTGGTTCTGTGGCGATAGACGGAATGCCTTGACTTTCAAATAGCGTACCTGGGCATTTTCAAGAACATAACCTTATTCAGTTTTTTTTTTTTTTTTTTTTTTTTTTTTTTTTTTTTACATTAGTTTAGTCAGTACAGATGATAATACCTTTTCATGGAAAACATGAACTCCAGTTTCGACTCCAATCATAATCTGAACTCCTGCCATACGTCCAAGGTCCTTTGGGAAAATCAAAAGATCGATCAAGCCGTCGTTGGGTTGGGCAGCTGGATGCGAGACAGATCCCTTTGAGATCCATGGCAGCTTGGCTCCAACAACAGTCGCATAATGGTCTTTTTCGACGACCCATCCATCATTTTCCTTAAGAGGGTCTGAAACACGTCCATATCGATCAATAATCGTCCTGTGATCCTGATCTAGTTCATCATGTGTTTGATCCGCCCAGATTACGGGCTGGTTCCTGTACTCGTTATACTGCTCCTGAATCTTCTTAATATTATTCTCTGCAGGAATATAAGCTAGTTCGCAAGGGTAGGTCGCCTGTGACAGCAGCTTGCCCACAGCAGAGAAAGTAAACCGGGCCTCTCCCATCCATCGTAGGTGCTCGGATCCCAAGTCTACATCGGCGATCAATCCAAAAGACTGGAGCTCGAAAGAGAAAAATCTACTGGAATCACCTTGGGTGACTGAGCAAAGATCCACTGGCATGGCCTTTCCTTTAACGATATTAAGAACAGCATTCGCTACATGGGCTCCATGCTTTTCACCTAGAAGTGAAAATGACAGAGCATTACCGGAACCTATTTATTTCGTAGATGAAATGTTAAAGGTTACTTCCGATAAATTATTTGTAGCCTCTCTACTGAGGATTCCATTATTACAATGGTTTAGCATCAGTTCTCTCAACATACCACCGGGAACAGCACCAAGTGGAAGCTTATGAGCTATAATGGCGTCTGGACGCTCCATAAGTCCGTTGATAACCTCGTGAATAACACCATCGCCACTAACTGAGACAATGGCATCGTAAGCGCGAATGTCCAAGTCTCGAGCAATTTCTTTCGCATGGTATCGATGAGTGGTATCTATTGTTCCATTGTCAGGGGAAATAACTAGTTAGGAAATAGTGGGAAGATGTTGTCTAACATTACAATGAAAAACCATATTGCAAGTAATATATAAATATAGATCAACATACAAGTAAGGTCATAAGTGCAGCCAGCGGCCTTGAATAAAGGCTCTGCAGTATGTTCCCATATGCGCTTAGCATGACCCTGGCCACCGAAAGGGTTCACAAGGATCTTGAAGTGGCGTCCTTTCTTAATTCCTATTAGTCAATCAAAAATTGTTTTACCATCATAGCGAATTAAGAATATGATCCAGGAACAGACAGATGGATTTTCACATCTTTGCACAGGATTTAATGTTAATCATCTTAATACGGTATGTTAGTACCTTTATAAACATGGTTGAGTACATCGGTCCGCCACTGAGATGTCAAGGCCAAATCTTTGACATTAAATGTGAATATTTCTAATACAGATTCCTTATCAACACCATGCTTGGGTGCGCATGCTGCGATAACTAAAGAGTGCTCTTGCGAGATTGAGATGTTCAAGATCTCAACAGTTTTGAAAACTCGAAAGCCTGAAAACGCAAGTTTACCAAAAGTGGAACAAATTAAATTAAATGAAATAAATAAGCCCGTGCGTAGTTTTTATAAAACAAAAAAAAAAAAAAAAAAAAAAACGAACCAGACGATGCAGTAGGACCGCAAGGCAAACACCCAGCTTGTTGCTTGGATACTATCAGCAAGGAATAGACGATTAGTTGGGATGCAACCATATAAAAGTTACTGAAAACTATAGGCACCTTTCTTTATCCATGATGTATTTGATATATGGATAGGCGATAGGTATGCGAAGACGTTGTCTATGGTAAGAATAAATGACTACCTTCAACTTCTGGAAGGTCAAATTGAAGAACTTGGCCATTGTATGCAAGCTGAACTTGAAAATCTCCCAAATGAGCAGAGAGTAAGAGAGGGAATGAGGCCATCTGGAAGGAATAGCTGATTCTAGGATGAATTAATAATTATGTGTGTGGATGTGAGTGCGAGAGGAAGATGGAACGGGGAAGGAATCAATCAGGCTCAAGATGTTCAAAACGAGAGAAGGAAAGCAAGCTTGACCGAGAGCCAACAATTAATGAAAACCAGAAAGATGGGACAGGCACAACTTTTTTTTTGTCACAATTCATCCGCATGTCTTTCAACCATGAAGTGTAGTTTGCCATGTGGCTTACTTCACGATCTTCAAGAGAAGAGCCCTCACTCACTGGATCTCTCTCTCTCTCTCTCTCTCTCTCTCTTTCAGTTGTGCTTACTCATTTGCAAGCTCATGCCAACTTTTGCACAGGTGCCTGTGTCATTCAGGCACATGACTCATCGTAGTCAGGTCTTATTTCTCTATCGACACATCCTAAGGGAAGGTGCAAGGTTCTTTGATGAACGTGCAAGGTATTTAAGAATAAAGCGTTCTTCAAAAAAAAAAAAAAGACTCCAAAATCATCAAATCATAAATGTCAAACTGTTTTTTTCCTGCTTTCGATCGTCTATCTCAACCAAAAAAAAAAAAAAAAAAAAAAAAAAAAAAAGGCTTCAAGGCACATTTTGTACCATGAATCTGACTTTATTTTATCCCTAGCAATTGGGTCATTTCAAGTGTTCAGACAGCCTTTCACAGGCATAAACACGAGATGGATAAAAATAGAATTCAGAAAAGCATGAGTGATGCTCGCAAGGTAAAGATTTGTCAGTATAAAATCTTTTTAGTATCCTTATTGCCAAGGCAGCCACTAATTGAACACATTCCTGGTCCAGGCCCTACGTTTGCTTGAACGTGCCAATCGAATGGACTTCAAATCAGTGATGCGTCTACTACGACTATCATATGGAATTCAGGGTAAAGAGCGACATAAGCTACTCAAACCCTTTGTAGACTCGGCACGTATGCATACTCTTTCACCAGAAAAGCTTTCTCTTGCTATTTGCTCCAGCTCTGTCGTGTCATTTTCATCTACTTCGTCCGATCTGCTTTCACAACATCTAAGTCATACAGCACAAAGTCCGCAGCCACTCCACTTTAATAATCCGAGGACAGTGCCACCTATTATGGTACCTCCTCTTGAGGCACTGATCAGAAACGTCACAGGGAAAAGTACCGACCCGAGCTTGCCTCAGCCATTGTTTAAGCCGTTGCATGGGAGACGTGAGGCCAATTTACGTTGGCGCTTTTTTACCAAGCAGCTGAAAAAGGTGATACCTCCACTTCCAATGGAGGTTCGAGGGGAAATAGAACGTAAATCCCGTATAGGGCTGTCCAGATTTGATCGAGAACGTTTTCAAGACATCTCTAAAACAACCACAGACGACTGGATAGAGCAGGAAAAGAGTATTATTCAAACAATCAAGCTATGGAATAATAATGGGAAGATGCAAAAGAAAAGCAGATGGGAGAACGAGAGGTTCCATCCAAGTATAGGCGGAAAACCCGCAAAGCCATGCACAATGACACTTCGACTTTACAGACGGATATGGCAGCATTTGCTCGACCAAGTGCCTGTGATACATTCCAATATCAAGAGTGCGGAGCCTTTGGACAGAAAGAAAGGCCTACCAGATGAATCGGATGCTACATCAAAGTCGAATAAATGCTCTTTTGTTGTAAGCAAGAGTCCACTGTCGTATCAAGCACGTTACAATACTGGTTTGAAATTGCATTCCAAGGTCAATAGGTTTGATAAGATAGGGTTGTCCCAAGGAACAGTTCCTGAACCAACACAAGGGCGAAAAAAAATCTCAAAGTCATAGTCATAAACACACGGAAGACTTTGCAAAATTACTATTAGTAAGACTTTATTTTGTGGCAAAACGAGGCAGGGTATTATTTCATTTTAAAGTTGTTCATATTGCAATACATTGAAGGTGGGAAATGCAGCCCATAGTACGAGAAAATAAATAAATAAATAAATAATCAATTGTCTCATTAAACTTCAACCTAATCGATGCGTCCGGGATCAACACCACCAATCTCACGACGTCCTGTTCTTGTGCCAGACTGATTTGCTCCGCCACTGTATCCATACTGGAAGGTGTTAATAACTTGCTTTCCTGCATTTAATGTCTCTTCTGAGAATTCGACTTCATGCTTGTCAGCCAGTTTTGGTCCAAGGATCTAAACCACAAACCCCAAACAAAAAATAGTCAGAAGGGTTGGTTGTAAATATCACTAACAAAAAAAAAAAAAAAAAAAAAAAAAAACATTTCGTCCAAGTAAACAGAACGAAAGTAAAGAACTCTTACAGGGACATCATATCCTGCTTTAGCGGCGTGACGTGATAATGAGAAAATGGCATCAACAACCTGACCAGGATTCTTGTCCTCATACAAGTCGATAGTCTGAAACAGGTCATGCTTGGGACACCCAAGCTTTTCACATCCCTCCAAGAACTTGGCAATGTTCTCCATCTATAGCACCAATTTGTTTCTCTTCAGTTAGAAGCCAAGTCAAACAGGCACCTTGCAAATACTTCGTTGTCATAGATACAAACCTGAACAAAGGGCATTCTTGATGACTTGATCTTCACAAAGCCTGGGATAAGTATATTTATCAATCTGCTCCAAAACCAGTTCAATGAAATTGATATTAGAAATGGTGTTAAAAACTAGCACCCACGACCTTTATTTTTTATAATGTCTTAACTTACTTGCAGAGGATAACGCCATCTTTGAGAGAGGGTTGGAATTCTGGAAGAGGAAAAGATTCTCCAATGACTGTCTCAATCCACTCACGAGCCTATTGATTATTTTGTTGAAAAGTACATATTAAGAATTTATCCTGTTTTCTTTGCCTCATCATTTCATGATGTTGTATATGCCGCACTTTTTTTTTTTTTTTTTTAGTCAGTTACTGTGTTCTACCTGGGCTTCACGGCCAACATCGTATTTTGCAGCCAGCTTTGCAGCGATCTCTATGGTCCAGGCATCGAGATAGTGTTGTAAATTAAGTAAGTTGTAGTGACAGAGTTTTATAGTGATGACTTTTTTTTTACTGAAATAAAAATATGGAGTGAGATGACTGAGGGTCTACATTCAAGAATATGTACTGCAAAACCTTAATCCTGTAGATATTACAAACTTCATTACCTCTGTCAATACCGTATTTTCTAGGTGAACTCATGTCTTTTTATTATTATAATTGTTATTGTTGTTGGTGAATGGAATGAAGGATGGAGAACAGATGAGATTCGACGGATGAAAAAAGATAAATGAAGGGTTGATGTGAGCACGTGAGTTAATTAACTTTCTATTTCTAACTTTCTTTTACAGTACAAACAGGAAGTGAGCTGCTGGTCTGCTTCTCTTTCATTTCTCAGAGCCTCTTTTCCCCTATCGAATACGCAGAAAACTATAAAGGTAAAAGTGAACGAAAGGGCCACCCACTCCTCTCTCTAGTTTCCTCTGTCTTTCTGTATCAAATCTCTGGTGATCTGCCCACCAATACCTTCTCAATGCAGTGATCTCCCTTGTACTACACTAACGACGGCTTTACAAATGATCGGTATCGCCGAGGCGACCCACTTTAGGTCTGTCCTACAATACACCACAAGGCTGAAGCTTTTAAGCTGTTGCCCTCAATGGGCCATTGCATACTGCAATAAGGACCTTATATCGACAGTGGTTTGATTGTGTCAAGTGGAAAGCCACTCGGATGGATTTACTCTGCGACGAGCTGTTTGTGGAGATGGAGCCTTATTCACATCGCAGCAACCGACTTGATTAGAGTTGCGTTATCTCTGGTCGGTCGACCCAATGTGGGCCTTGGAATAATACAAATATTAGACCTGGCCCTGTAGCTCGATAATTAGCTGCAACGACCCCAATATTAACTCCTGTTTCTTCCAAACCGATTACAATGCGTTACCAAATCGGAAGGAAACTGCCATTTCATTTTATATTATTTTATATTCTTTTACTTTGCTTTATTTTATTAAATTAGGCTGCAACTCATGGGCCTTTGACTTTTATTTTTTTACGGACCATCGCTGTTATACTACGGTGCTGTTGAGGCGCTGCTCCTCCAAAGATACACACTCGCTACCGTCAGAACCAAGGCTGAGTCTAGTTCGACAGAATTCCTTCTGTCTGATAGGGTTGATCGAACAGTAGCTATATGGCATGTTCTCATAACACCCATAGTATATTACAGGCTTATCCTTTCTCATATCACGGCAGGTAGTTTTGTAGGGGACTACTCCGATGTGACCATAAACATTATGAGAGACACTTATTTCACCCAACTCAGTCGCATAATCCCAGCTGTCAACTTCTGTAAACTTGAGATTGAGTGTCCAGCCATTGTTTTTCATGGTGGTCTTTGATGCAAAATAGACAGTACGATATTGGGCTGCCATATCTCCGTTATCGTTCCAAAGCTGGAATCCGACGACTGCCTTGGTTGGATAGCTCACGATACCGACACAATACGCGAAACTAGCATGGACGTAGATAGGTCTTAGTAAGACCCCTAACAGTAGCAGGGCCAGGTGATGCAGCATTTGCTTGGATATAGTCATTTCTGTTAATAAAAAGAGAGTGGGATATGAATGGCGGGAAGATAACGATAACTGAATGTTTAATTTGCGACAATAAAAAAAAAAAAAGAAAAGAAAAGAAAATGCAAGCCCATAAGCAGGCCGTGCTTTTATTGCCATGGCGAACTGACGACAAGTTAAAATATCCTCGCAACAGACACAGCACTTCCAAAATTTTACCAGGTTATTAAAAATTCGAGAGCATTCACGCTCTGTACTTGGAATGAAGGGTAAGAAGTGCTCTCCAATCATGGAATCGTATCATCTGTACTACATTGTGCGGGCTCATTGATAATGGCGTTGGATTTACGACTTTTTCCAGAAGAGAAAAAGTTCCAAGAACTTTGAGAAAAGTATCTTTCCCAATGTTATTATAATGTCAAAATGTTTATGCTTAATAAAGTAATGATTAAGGAGGTGATGCTTTTTTTTTTTTTTTTTTTTTTTTCACAGGTGTTTCATGTCTGCCTTTTCTCCATTGACGGCCTCCTCCATCTGGGCAGCAATCTTTGCTGCTTGCTTGCTATCAGCTCGACGAACATCTTCAGCAATCTCCTCCTCCAAAGCTTCAGGTTTGTCCTCAGGTAAGAGTTGATTCAATATAATGGCAATAAGAGCGCCAACGCAAAAGCCGGTGGAGAGAATAATGTTAACAGAATCCGAAAGACCCTGCAAAACAGCCGAAGTACCGGTGTAAGATATAAAGTGAGTCAACGCATTTGGAATCAAAGACACTCCAAGTCCAAGAGAAATGGCGGCCGAAACAATGAAACGATCGCGACGAGTCCACTCAAGGAACGCGAGGATGCGCATGCCTGAAGAAGCCACGTTAGCGAAAAGGAATGTAGTCATACCCCCAAGAACTGAATCAGGGATCATGAGGAACAGTGTTCCAAACTTGGAGAAGATACCCATCAAGATTAAAAACACGCAACACATGTACCCAGCTGAGGTATTCGCACACCTTTGTTGTGGAGAAGCAGATAAGGAAACAGACAGAAAGTGATAAAGTTTAGCACCAGTGTCAACACAGCAATTAATATGACCATATTGATAGAAAAATGAATACTTTTACCTAGTTAGTGCGATAATACCATTATTTTGAGCAAAGACAGACATTGGAGAGTTGGTCATAATTGCAGACAAAAACCCTCCCAATCCATCAGCCAAGACTCCTCCTTGAACACGGGATTCAAATTCGCGACCTTCCACTGCCAGTCTGGAGACTTCACATGACGCAGTGACATCGCCGATTGCTTCTACCATGGTCAAAACATAAGTAACGAGAAGCGGAATGATGGCAGGTGCATAAATGGATAGAGGGAAGGTTGAAAAGTTTTTGACCCAGAGGAATGTAATAGTTGGGGCATTATCCAGAGCTGTAACGTCTGTATATCCAGTGGCAGCAGCGACGATTAGTCCAATAACGAGTCCAATGACAACTTGGGCATTGCGCATGAAGGGCGATCCGAAAAACTCCACAAACATGATAGTCATGAAAACCAAGAATCCAAGTCCAATCCACTGAGGTGACGCCCAAGGCGCTGCGTTAGGGGCACCAAGGTTGGGACAGACAGAAAAGAAGCCTTCTGAAGGCATAGCACTGCATGGACCAGAGCCTCCGGCCCACTGCGTCAGTCCAGTTCCAATGAGTTTAGCACCGATCAAAAAGACAGTGACTCCAGTGACAAGAGGTGGAAATAAATTCTTCATAATTTTGGGTGGCAAGAATGCGAGTGAAATCTCAATAATGGAGCACAGCATGCATGTGCCCAGAAAAGCGCCCCAAGCCTCGGGACACGGAAGATGTACTGGAGTTACACCATCAGGAGCAACACCCATGGGACACTGACCGCTCAAGTACATGCGAGTGGTCATAGCCTATTTAGCGATCAAAAATATATCGCATCGCATTTGCATGTTTTGCCGATTAATAAATGGACGATTTCATCTAATTACTTTTGCCAAAACACTTACTCCAAATGTGGGTACGAAATTGAAGCTGGTACCAACGACTGACAAGAGCCCTGTACCGATGTAATATCTTGTTCTGAAAATTCTAAAGCGAGTAATCTGGATCAGAGATAGAAGACCTGACGAGATCAATGAAGCCGAGAGCATATAGGAGCGAGTCGACATGTCGAGATTCATGTTTCCTGTCCCAGGGCCTGACATTATCAAAACAGGAGTCACTACTCCTGCAACCATAGCCAAAGCGTGCTGAAAGCCTTTTTTTTTTTTTTTTTTTTTGAAACGAAAAAGTGGTCAGAAAAACATGAATTTCATTGAAGACTGTTGGTCATCTGGTAAATAGTTTTTTACCCATGACGATTGCCAGCAGGATGGGGAGCTTTGTCTTGAGACCAAAAAAAGGCGGCTGACGAGTGTTTTTTTTGTTGAGACAAGGAATAGTGGGAATACAAAGGAAGCTGTAGTCGTAGTCCCCTAGCCATCCATCTTTGGTAAATAAGGCCTCACGAATGCTATGGAGAGTAGGAAAGGAAGCGGCTGTGTGAGCGAGATCATCCTCTTTTGGATCTGGCCTGACTTCATAGATAAGGACGTCTACTGGAGTCGGTGCGGATGTGATTTCGTTGGTAGTCATTCTGAAAGTATGAGTGTCGGATAATAGATAAGCGAATCAAGGATAATGAAGATCCCTTGTTATGGTTCTTAAGAGTGTGAATAAGACCTGAGGAGGGACGAAGGAGAAGGATACATTGTTTGAAGAGAAGAACTGATAAACGAAGCAAAAAAAAAAAAAAAAAAAAAAAAATTCCGAAAGTAAACACAAAATTTCAAGCCATTCATTAAAAATTACTCTCGGTGGCTGTGTGGATTGATGCATGCCTGTTTCTGTATTCCGTCTTCAATGATATCAGTCTTTCTACAAATATTTTTGTACCAACCCCGATGACCAGGTGTAGGGGAGAGGATTCTCCTGTCTCCTCTGCACAATAGCCTAGGACTTACTGGATGGAAAATGGTAGATAGAAAACATTGGAGCAGTCTGTGAGGATTGTAAGGGCTTTGTAGTTCCGGTTTGGTCATTTGATTGAGAAACATGTCGTAAACCCTCGAAAAGTCATGTACAACCTTCACCACTCGCCTGGCCAAGCACTTTGTTTTCTTAAATGCCATTCAACAGATTTTTACAGAAGGAGCAACGTTGTTAAAAAACTAGCCCATGTCTTCCTGCACACTGAGTGTTATTGAAAGATGTGCTTACTGTTGGCCCATTAGAAATACCTATCAGGACAGCAACCCTCGTTAGCGCTTTCTTAGGGACAGCTATAGACACGGTGCTTGATACTCTGTTATCATTCAACGCAATTGATCTTGCCACTGCCAATGTGCGGTTGTTCATGATCACTTTGTCTTTTTTTTTTTTTTTTTTTTTTTTTAATATCAATGTGCAAAATCCAACTCTTTTCGAGAACTTTATTTCGAACATTAAGACTAATGAAATGCAAGCCTGTGCAATTAGTATTGTGGAAAACAACATTCGTGTGTGTGTAGGAATAAGAGTGGAAGAAAATAACGAAAAAAGTAATGGGCAGCAGTAACACTACACGCTAATTTCACTGATACTTTCATTTCCTGATTTTTCTGCGCATGGTGCGTCAACAGAGTACTCAATGAGGATCTGTGCTCTGAAATAAGAGACGGGTCAAAACCACTGTTGTCACCGACAAAGATTCTCTTCCAAAGAAAAAAAAGCCAAAAAAAAAGGCATTGGAGCGTATTAAATGGTAAAAAGGTGTTATATATTCTTAGCATGATAACCAACATGAAGAATCCACTAGACTCCCTTATAAACGTTACATCGAAGCTTCGTCTTCATCAACACGGTCAAATAGAAGAGAGAGAGGGAGAAAGAGACTTTTCTTTATATTAATGTTGATGATCCAAAAGCACAAGTATATTGTCCCAATGCCTCTGTTATTCTCATCGAAAAGGGGCGAAAGACATGAACAAGCTGCCAGCACTGGATATGTTCCCGCATCGAGAGGCGGTCCTCAAGGCGCTACATCCTGAATCATCATTAGATTATCCTGTCCTGGGAGGTATGTCTTTACATACACCAACGACCCTTGAAATATTCTGCCATTCTACATGGCATGTCACGATCAGGTATCAAAACCCGATCTCTTTCCTTGTAATTATGATTTCAATCTCTTTTGTCTTCTGGTGGTTTTTTTTTTTTTTTTTTTTTTTTTTTTCCTCTGATAAGAATACGTTTCCTGCTAATGATTCGAAGCTTTTATGGACTTGAAATTGTCTACGCAAACATTGAATTGACATTATAAAGTCAGTCGGCTCCATGCAATCCTCATCTAAAACATTGAATCAACTTCTTAGTGCCTGTTGGCTCTTCCAAGCAGGCTTGAGCTCAAACCAGAATCTATTACTCCTGCATTCAGGTATTTCATTATAACTCATTCTTGTACATCGTCTCCACTCTACCTTCTGTCTTCTACTACTCCTGAATCCCTGCAGACTCGCGCTCTCCTGCTTTATCGCCTTGGAATCAATTGTTTCCTCCATCTCCATCGCTAGAAAGACTATGCTCCAAGGACACTAAGGGTTGGCACATCGTCACATGTTGACGAGATGGTAATCTAAAAACCTTAGAGAGAAATGGACGAAAAAAGAGAGAGGAACACTTTAAAAACTCCTGTGCGTACACTTCCAGTGAGCATTCATGTACAGACTTAACAGACATGCTCGAGTATCCGAATTGAGAGAATGACGCGTGGAACGGCAAGCCCATCCTCAGCTCAAAGAGATGGTGATAGAAAAAAAAAAATCACTTACTAATTGTCTGTAATTAACACCTTCCGGCCTCCTTCCTCAATTACAAGATAGTTAAAAGCACCATGGCGACAGTTGTGTCTACAATTATAATCTGGTTGCATAAAAAAACAGCATTGACAAGACAATAAGTTGGTTCATAAACCTAATTATCAGTCAGGTTGCATACTGTTCAACCCAGATAATGATGACTTTGTAAGCCATGTCCCCTGCATTATAAGGAGCTGAAGATCTAAGCATCTGAAAAAGTGTAGAGCGACATTTGTGTTACGTGTGGGAAGTTAAAAGAAAAAAGAAAGTCAAACCTAATATCGCCTTGATATAGTGATATTTCAGGCAAGTGATTTACCAACTGACTTCACCATTGACGGACAAGCGTTGTCTCCTAATTCAGTCTCTCCCTATTGCCACATCTTTAGATCAAAGTCCATCTATACAACTTCTATTGACTTTTATTTAGTGGCGGCGTCATGCCTCCACGATGACCTCTCAACGCTTCTAATCGAATTTGACCCTCGTTTGTCTCTTCTCTAGCCCAGACTTTCATAACAAGTTAAACTCCTGTTGAAAACCACACAGGACCCGTTTTCCTGTTTGTTTGCTTCACTTTCAACAGATAATCTTGCCTTCCTGCAGCCTTATGTAACCCCAAGGATTCCTAGACCCCAGCTTGACTCAGAACAATCTCATCCAGAACAAAGGCTGCTGCCATCTTGAAGCCTCATCCTAAATTAAGTATGGATAAATCTCCTTAGACACGCTTTCTCTCCAAACATTGATTCCTACGAGCCAGCCCTTTTGACTATTGTACCAACCTATTGCAGTAGACTACTCCGAATTTGGTCTCGAACCAAGCTTGTTTTGCCTTTGTATCGGAGGGTCAAGCTTGTCGCTCTTTTTGGTTAGCCCTTTTCAAATATAAATGGTTTACTTAACAAAACTCTTATAATTGAAAAGGACTAACTAAAAAGAGCGACAAGCTTGACCCTCTGCTTTGTATAACTTAGATAGTTCAAGGCTGATGTAGGTGTCATGAATAAAAACAGTGCTCTCTGCTCTGACTTTCCTATACTTTATCTTGCTCAAAGCCAAAGTCTTTGATAGCACCTGCTTGCAGTGTCCCTGTTCGACTGATGAGTCAAAACAAGTGAACAGACGATCTAAGGCTCCTTCTGTGCTCTTTGCCTAGGCCCAAATGGGCAGTAAAGTATAACCTTCAATCTTACCCTTGATTGGAATGGTAGGATGAGAAGACTCGAGCTAAGCTTATAGTCCCAAGCTGACCCTGGTCTTGCGCTGGCAGGCATTGAAGATTGTAGACATGAATACAGGGGAGAACAAGCTCATCATTTCCACTAACATGCAAAACTGAATCAATAATTCATTTCAATGTATTTTTTTTTTTTTCTTTTATTCCTAAGAACCGTATATGCATACAACATTCATACTTTGTTTAATTAAGCTCCCGTCTTCTTCTACGTTATAGTTATGCGCTGTGATATTGGCTTGTCTCATTTGGAAAGCTAATGACTTTTTTGTTCGTTTAGGCTACTGGTTCAGTTTTGTAGGTGGTCTAAAATGTTACCCATGACAACTTCCGGACGTCATATAATGCAAGTAAAAGAAAGACTTTTCCCTCTTTACTTTATAAACGCTTGCTTAATTCTGTCTTAACTATATCTTCACGGAATATGAGACCAACTCCACAAAGGGAAGTCAACGAAGCCAGGAGGTTAATGATGGGAGGCATGTCTACTAGGGAAGCAGCTGCTAGCGTTGGTATATCACAAGGGACGGCCACCAGGATCTATGCAAGAAATAAGGAGTACATACCAGTCAATAATGACGGTCGATGCAAAAGTCAAGGTAGTGTTCTAGGGGGATCTAAGGGTGCAATAAAGGTATCTTTATTCAGGGGGAACTCTGCTACAGAACTAGATAGAAAAGTAGACCTATTTATACTAGTTAATGTCCTGTTGCAAGGAATGCTCTAGAAATATGGGCGAAATACTATGTTGCACAAAATTATTATAGTGATTTCGCTTGCATCCTTCCCGTCATGAAGAAACCTATTATCTTGTTTTTCTTGAAGCCTCAAAGACGGCAAGCGCCTCTTTAGCGTTTGCGAGCGAAGATTTTGTTTCCCAAGTGGCTTCATCTAATGGATAGCCTTTCCAAAGAACGAGCCACTTAGGAGTTTTGCCAAACATTTTGAAGTCAATGATTTTGTCGACTTCATACTCCTCTTCTCCATCTACCAGCTCGGGGGCAGGGCGTGGTGGTGAGCGGTCGCCGAATTCACGAGGTGACTCAATATAGGGGCGAAGCAGATCGGCATTAAAGACTGGATGCTGATGCATGTCAGGCGGTAGTTCCAGCTTGTAGGCATTTTTATTGACCTTCGAAATGATCTTGTAAGGGCCTATGTACTCAGGTTCCAGTTTCTGCGACGGCCTATTTTTATGTCCCGCGACAGAGATGTTTTCCGAGCTTAAGAGCACCATGTCACCCACAGCAAACGTAGCAGGCCTGCGAGTTTTGTCCGCTTGGGCCTTTTGCCTATTCTGCGCTTCGATGATGGCTTCCTGAGCTAGCGCCAAATTCATCGACTGGGTTCGAACAAAATCACTGACAGCCGGAACATTGGTATCAGGTGGCTTTAAAAGAGATCCAGGGACTAGTGGATGGTGACCATAGTTCAGAAAGAATGGGGAGAAGCCTGTCGTAGGATTGACAGAGTTGTTGTATGCGAACTCCATCATAGGCAGTAAAAGATCCCAGTCGTTTTGCTTGTACGATATGTAAGAGCGGAGCATTTCTTCTAATGTTCTGTTGGCGCGCTCTGTTTGTCCGTCTGATTGTGGATGGAAGGCAGTAGACATGTTAAGTTTAGTGCCCA